CTAAAAAATATACTGTAACAGCTAGTAATTGAGTGTTCAATATTCTGTGTAGTCCTTACAAAACATGGAGATGGGAGATTCTATGGATGAGGAGACCAGACGCCTGGTTCTCAAACACCAGCACGATGACCCAGCAGATGACAGTATGTAGAAATTTTAACAAAGACAACTTTAAATCGAATTTTAACATTAGTTTGAAAGGGGAAGCAATTATGAATATATTATACACATAGTTATTCCAAAAAAGAAAGATGTGGACAAAACCCTTGACTGTCTGTCTGTCAATGTCAGTGATACTCCCCAATGGGACGCACACATCATACAGTCTATTCTGGAACACTTTGCTTGTTAAAGACTAAAGCTACTGATGAATACTAAAAATACTTGCAAAACACAACAAAGTTTTCAACAAAAATTAAAAGTAATTGAAGTGTGTGACGAAATGCATATTAACATAAAAATATTTGTATTGACTAATGTCCTTTATCATTCTTCAGCTGTGGAGGTAGTGATTTGGATGAGGGACAGGGTTGGCATCCACGTGACTCTGGAGTGTGGGGGACATGAAGCCACCGCCGAAGACTTGTTTGAGATTGTAGTGGAGCAGAGAAGTTTGCCTCCAGAAAGTGAAAACATTTTCTCCATCTGGCTGGTGTCTCCCCTGCTTGGTAAGATAACAATGTTGTCTCTGGTAATCTCCAAATATAGCTTTAAAGAAATACTATGGAAACATTGCTTAATAACAAGTTTTTGATTGGTAAATTTTATGGGTATTTATGGTAAAACCTAGTAGATATAAATGTGTAACTGCTGATATTGAAGTTATTATAAAACTTGTTGATTGAAAATATTTTCTTTACATTGACTTTAAGTTATAATGGTTGGTAATTCCTCAATGTACACTGTTATGATTGTATATTATCATAATACCCATCTCATATAGTTCAAATATCCAAAAAAATATTTTGATTAAACTTGATCGGATTTTAAACTTAAGAATAAGTTTACAGGGAAATACATTTTTAACGAAGTACCAGGGTCAGACAATTTTTTTGTTAAAAGCATAATTCATTACATCTGTTAAATTTACAATTAATATATATTTTGAAGTTCATGGGAAAATCGCTTCGTTGTAAGTGTCAATTGGTAAAAGCGTGTTCGCTAAAAGCATATTTTACTGTATATGCAAGTATTTCTTTGTTTTATACAATTGGAATAATGTGTTTTTGCATGAGATATTTTTTTTTCTTCCAGAACTAAGATTAAAAAAGAATCATAGACCATTCCAGTTTGCACAGTTGTGGGACGAATTCTGTGCATTATACACAGATGCTAAACCCGATGAAATCTCAAGAGGTACGTTATTTCTCACCAGAAAAAAATGTAGAGCTTATTTAGCAACATAATTAAAGTAAGCCTGGTCAGAAAAAGTGGTCTATGGTACTGTAGATTCCTAATTATACACAATGAATTAATTATCGTTTAATTTTGGAAGAAGCACCACCTGCAAAATAAAATTACTCACTGTTATTTTTATAGACAGGTGCTGAAATATATGTAAAATCTCTTGATCAGCTGCCTGTTTGCAAATTATTATTCTCACAATTTGATATTGAAGAGCCAATTCTCAATTATAATAAGTATGCATGAACAATCAAGAATCTGTAGTATTCACTCCTTTTTTTTTTTACTTTTACCTCGACAGATGAACCTGTTGTGATGTTTCAGAGAAATGTATTTCTGACTCTTGAAGAGGAAATGAGGGTAAGTATATGCTGTAAACCAACTTTTATTCGTGGCGACTATTTTTTGGCCATTTACCAGGAATAAACTAGTTTGCAACGATAAATTTTCACGATGAAATCTTCTTTGGATCTCTTGTTAATGGACACAGAGACTTTGTGGACCGGTTTGCGGCGAGAAACATTTGTAATGACAAGGCTCTCACGAACCTCGCGAAAATTTCTCGCATGTGAATAAAAGTTGGTTTCACATAGTTATTTATTCACATACACTGTAAATAAAATCTTTTCGGATATTTTTTTGACATACATATACCAGTATGTAAAACTGAAGTAACTTGTAGATTTCGGATGAAGTGGTCTTGAACTTGCTGTACCATGAAGCCAAATTTAACGTGATAGAGGGTCGATATGTGTTACAAGCAGAGGAATATGACCAGTTGGCAGGAATTCAGGCGTTAATTCATCTAGAGCATTACAATGAAAAAACACACACACTGGAACACTACAAGTAAGTACCAGATATAATTTGGAACAATTCATTGTGTTTTAAGTGGTGAAACATCTAAAATATTATTTTACCTATTGTATGCAGGGTAATTTTGCTCTGTGTTATTTTTACCCTTTCACATCTGCATATGATTTTGTCCCATCCTTAATTTACACAAGTCAGGTACAGTTAGAAAGATATGTTGCTGTTTACTTTGAATTCTTCCTGTTTAATTATCTCACCTATGACAAAGGTGAAAAGGTTGAAAATCAAACGGGGACAAAAATTCCCTGATATACAGCACACAAACAATTATGTCGATATAAAAGCAATGTTTTATCATTGAATAAAACACGCGAGAACTTTATTTTCGCGTTATTACGCGAGACGGTGTGCTCGCGAAAATTTGATACTAGTATTCCTTAAGAATATATAGAGCAATAACCACAATTCGAAATAGTATTTTATAATCAGTATCCACGATGCTCTGTGAAATCACATATTTTCATGGAGTTAAATTTTCAAGGTTTGAAAAAAAATTCTGGTTTGTGGGGATTTGATTTTTGGTTGGAAAATATTTAGTAGTTATGCATATGAAATTTTTCATTTCGTGGTTTTCATAAATTCTTGGGTTTCTCCATACCTCAAAAACAACGAAAATTTTACCCCCATGAAAAAGTGATTTTACAGTAAGTTAGCTCCAACATTGATATCATCATGTTTATAATTTTAACAGAGAAGAGCTGCATAAGTTCTACCCAGCACACATGCGCAAACCAAAGAATACCAAATTTTTCAAGTTCAGCAGAAACAAGAATGAGGATGTAGAAGCACTGGAGGTCAGAGTTCGGCGCGCGCATCGACAGATCAGTGATGCGTACAAAAACACCGACATAAAGCAAGCACTAGGTAGCCTGTACAGGAAATACCTGGAGGTCTGCTGGCAGTATGCTTTCTATGGGTAAGTTTTCTATGTGTAAGTTTCTACATTGATTTAAATGTTATGAGAGGCAGCTGAACTTCAATATCTCCAACATTGATATCTTGAATATCATTGATACAATAAAGCAAATTGAAAGTTACGACATCTTTTGCTTTATTTATTTATTTTAACCTTAATGTCTTGCCTCCTTAGGTATCTGAGTTTTCTCTCAGCCCAATTAAGTCTGAGATGGGGAGGTTTAACTGTATTGATATTTAACTATTAACTGATGGTCAAACTCCTTCAAAATTTAAATTCTCATATTAATACCTCTGTAAGTGTCAGATTTGAACTGTATGCTGACTTGTTTCTTTGCAGAAGTGCCTTTTTTGAGGGGAAGGTTCAGAAGCAGATAGGAAAGATAAAGGGCCACCTTCCCGGTGTGGAAAAAGACATGGATGTCCTGATAGCTCTGAATACAGACGGGATCTGTATCATTGATCAGCTGAGAGAGGTAGGGATACAATCTAGCCCGTGGTAATTTAAGTTGGTTTGGGGGGGGGGGGTAACCTGAGTTGATTTTTTTTGTAATTGAAGTTGTTTTGTATACTTATGATTGTGATAAATCTTTGATGATTTATTTGTAATTGAAGTTGATTTTTAGCTCACCTGAGCTGAAGGCTCAAGTGAGCTTTTCTGATCACATTTTGTCCATCGTCCGTCCGTCTGTCCGTCCGTCTGTCTGTCCGTCTGTAAACTTTTCACATTTTCGACTTCTTCTCAAGAACCACTGGGCCAAATTTGACCAAACTTGGTACAAAGCATCCTTGGGTGAAGGGGAATTTAAATTGTTAAAATGAAGGGACATATCCCCTCGCAAGGGGAGATAATCAAGAAAAGACAAAAATAGGGTTGGGTCATTAAAAAATCTTCTTCTCAAGAACCACTGGGCCAGAAAAGCTGAAACTTATGTGGAAGCATCCTGGTATAATGTAGATTCTAAATTGTTCAAATAATGACCCCCTGGGGAAGGGCGGGGCCACAATGGGGTATCAAAGTTTTACATAGAAATATATAGGAAAAATCTTTGAAAATCTTCTTCTCAGGAACCACTGGGCCAGAAAAGCTGAAACTTATGTGAAAGCATCCTGGTATAATGTAGATTCTAAATTGTTCAAATCATGACCCCCGGGGGAAGGGCGGGGCCACAATGGGGAATCAAAGTTTTACATAGAAATATATAGGAAAAATCTTTGAAAATCTTTTCTTAAAGAACCACTGGGCCAAAAAAGCTGAAAAATATATGCCCATGGAAGGATCATGGGATAGTGTAGATTTCAAAATGTCTAAATTATGATCAGTGGGGTAGGGTGGGTATGCATTATGTATAACAAGGGGGAAATCTGGTAAAGAACAGAATGGTCAAAGCTTCTCAGGTGAGCGATGTGGCCCATGGGCCTCTTGTTAAACTTATGAATATGATAAATCTTTCTTATGTGTAGGAGCCCATGCTGGCCGTGCCGTATGAAGATCTTTCCTGGCATTTAGACACCAATGAAGAGGAGGAAAACAGAATGGCTGTCCTCCTACTGCAGTTCCTGGTCAAGAATGAGAACGGAGAAACAATCACCAAAGTTCTACAGGTGTTCTCCAGTCAGGTAAAAATTTACCCATTTTCTTCAGCAAAGTAAACTGCGATTATTACAGCTGCTTTTCAGACACGCAAAATTTAAATCCTTTTCGTCAGCAAGTAATTACTATAGGTGATTTTCAGCTAGGTAAATTTTACCCTTGTTCTTCTGCAAAGTAATTTACTGCAAGTGTTCTCTAACCAGGTAAGTACATGTAGTACAGGTGTTCTCCGATTAAGTGTGTATTACATGTATTCTTTTACTAGGTAAATCACTTCTGGTGTTTATATTAATTTAGAAATCCTTTCAGAGAAATGAAAATAAGGCAAGATTGTGTATATGCAGATTTGTACAGCAGCGTGAATTTATTGAAATATTGAAGAAAACTTATATTCAATATTTGTAGGCAAAGATGATGGATGCTTTGATTGATTCATGTGTAAAGAGGAAACTCCGTAGAGAAGAGAGTGCCCCAGACGGACCTGGGAAGGATCGAGAAGAGAGTGGCCGGGATGGACCCAGGCAATACAGGAACGGTATGTAACTGGTGTTGCTGATGGTATTGAGGGGAGAGGGGGAGGGGGGATTGATGCAATGGAGTTTTAATGGGGAAGGTATTATAAAAAGCCTAATATTGCTCTTGCCCAATGTAAAAATCATCCAAAATGGGGCAATCCAAGAGTCTTAAATGAAACCCTGTTCCAAATTTTAGTTTACTAAAGGAAGTTTGGATAACTCTGTTTATTGCTTGACCCATATGGGTGTAATATGCAATAAAGATTATTATTATGTAATCAAACAATCAGCCATTTCTAAGTTTTGTGGCTAATCACCATCATCTTCTCAAAATATTGTTGTGGAAAATTATGACTTAACTTTGTCCTCTGTTTTCAGAAAATTTTTGTTGCAAGATATCAAACAAGCTGGATAAAATGACATTATCAACATTTTCATTGAAAGGTAAGGTCCACTATAACGACATGTATGAGATGCTTTGAATTGATTGTAATTAATTGACTTAGGCTATCTAAATTTAATTCCCTGGTTCTCAGGCCTATTTTCTCCAAAACAGATGCGGGAGGGCGGCATTTTATTTTTCATTTTATTGGCAATAAAGTAGATGAGGGAGGTATTTTTTTTAAATTTAATTTCCAAATTTTCTTTAACATAAAGATATTTTTTTAATCACAGATATACTTTCCATTTCTGGTCAAAATTTCTGCTTTATCCACTGCTTAACAGCGTGTAAACATCGTAGGTAATGTCCTCGAATGTATTTTCAAATGAAGAGTAGCCAAAATCTCATTGTAAATGGCTACCGGAAGTGATATTTGAATACTAAACTACAAAACAAATGAGGTCGGAATTTTTTTTCCCGTATTGGTCTCCGCAATACCAACTTTTTATTTTATCAAAAATTCAATAAAATCGGCAATGCTGCTACCTCAAAACAGATGCGCACGGGCCTGAGAACCAAGATTTCAATTTTATATGGCCTTAGCGTTTATATTAGCATTCACTGAACTGATACTCACAATAGTGAAGAAATTTGCTTTAAAGGAGATCTGTAATGGGGCATTATTAAGATAAAAATTGACTAAACCTAAAGTAGTTCCGATACATGTACGAGGGCCGTTCAATAAATAATGTCCTGAGCTCTATGACATACAACATAGATATCATATGGCATTAATCTCAACTTTCTCTCATGATTAAATCTTTAATGAATTGATTACAGTATATGTGACCACTTTTCATCACATAGTTTCATTGTGAGAAGCTGGAAAACAAGGGATATTCGAGACACTGCAATAAAATGAATGGTCAAGAATCGGTAAACAAGAGTGAAATTAAACGCTTCATTAAAGATGCTGTAAAACTCATTAAGAATCCCAAAGAAATATTCACTGAAATATGTGAAATTTACAGGAACTAATGTCTGTTTTATAGACCCATGAGCAGGTGGATTTCAATGTACAAAATTGATATAATGGGCATCAAAAATGGGCACTGTCCTTGGAGAAAAAGACTTACAACAACCAATGTACTGTTTGCCAAAATTCAACAAATTATCAGTGATGATGTTTGATTGAATTTAAGACACATAGCAAAATTGACAGGCATCATTTTAAGGGTAGTTTACAATGTATTAAAGAAACATTTGACAGTGAAAAATCTTAATATTCAATGATCATCCTGTTTTGAAAAATGAGTGAAAAGACAGAGTGTAAGAATATCAAAACAATTATTTTAAAAAATCAAAAATTGAAGTTATCGACGTTTGTCTGAAATTCAAACAGATAGTGAAACTTGAATTCATTGCTTTAAACCATCAAAACAAATTTACAATAAGACGCAATTGAGAAAAACAGCCAAGGTCTGAAAAAAGCAAAGAATTGCAAAAGCACAGAGATAGTTTTATAAGTCATTTTCTTAAATATAAGTAGTCGTGTTTTTCAAATTATTATTCGGGTAGGCAGTTCAATTTCTCAAGAAATCTAGAAAGCAAATATTGACAAAAAAATTGAAAGTTTTAAGAGAATGGAACCAGAATCAGAAAACCACCTCAATAAATTTCATCATGAAAGCGTCCAAACCCCCACATGCCATGAAGAGTAAAGTAGTTTTGGGGATAAACAGAAAGTTTATTTTTTGTCACACCAACAATATTCACCAGATCTTTCACCCTTTCACTTGTTTCATTTTCCAAACTTGAAAAAACACCTTTCAGAAAGAAGAAACAAGTCAAGGAAATCACAGGATCTGCCATATTCTAGTATGCGAAGGGCCATACTCAAAAATGTGTTTTAAAAACAATCATAAAATGGATAAAAATGTTATGCACATGTGTTCCAACTAAAAGTCTAGAGAATATTTATGGTATGTGAAATCATTAAGACTAAATCCCTGAAATGTTTTTGGTTGCTTGCCGAGCACTGAGGACATAATATCCCTAGTTTCATCTTGGCTATTATACCAATGATTTCTCATCTTCTACTATCCTCATAAACCATATTTTAAAGGAGAGTGGCAAATCGAAAAACTTTGTATAAAATGAATTGTGTTGAAAAAAATAAAAATTAAGAAAACCTTGTCTAGGAAAGATAGCTTAGAAGGCACTCTCTAAAACAGTTGATTATTACTTGAGCCAAAAAATACTTCTCCTAAAAAAAAATTAAGTGATCAAAATATCAAAACAAAAATTCTTGTATTTTGAGTCAACCTAGAAAAGTTTATATTGCTGATTGAGCTGTGATTAAACCTAGCAAGTCTAAGCATTATAAACATATATATCTGAAGAACTACAGTAATTTCTTCTTTCAGGGGAGATGATTAAGCCCTCGTGAGAGATTTAGGAAAACATTGGTGGACCTCAATAATTAAAATTTGTGCATAATACACAGTAGACATTTCAGTTTGTTAGTGGACTGTCACTAAAGGAGAAAAGACCCTGAGTTATAAACTTTTGTAGCCTCTCTCTCTACCAGTATATTCAAACCATTACTTAGGAAGTGAATTCATCAAGACTCCAAATGACAGTTTTGTATATTAGAAAAACTCTTTTGTGTGATTTTAATGATTAATGACTCGATTGTGAAGTGTTGGAAAATCTCAGATTTATTGGTTAGCAGTGATTAATTTTTGTTACAATGTAGATGTACATGTATACAGATTTTTTTTTTTAAACGTTTGATACATGTCATTCATATCTATACATATTAATGGGAATTAATGTATGCCATCATTTTTGAGAAAATTATTTATATATACCGGTATATATGTACATTTTAGGTTGTTTTTATGTGTTTATCTTAATAACTTTCTTTTTTACTTCATCAATGTGTTAAATTGAATCAATAATTAAAAACTAATGGAGTTCAAAATGGTTTTAACCAACTTGCAATAATTAATGTATTCTTGTATGTTATAATGTTTTCAAGATTATTATTTTGTTTTTATGAACTTACAAACCTAAAATGTGGAATAAATAGTAGTCTCTGGATGCTGGATTATTCAGACTACTTTTTCTATGATTTGTTTCTTTATGTTTGAATTTACAGTTTGGAATTAATAAGATTGGAACCTTTTCGTATATTTTGCAAAGGTTGAAACATGCAAGAAAATTCTTCACAAGTCCTACACATTTTTTGTAGTTTTCTACATACGTATGATATATATATTTATTGTTATTATCCCTTTTAAACTGTGATATTGTATGTATATATAGTGTAATTTTTTTCCAAAAGAAATTGATGAAAATACTAGTAAATTAGAAATTCTTGGTAGTTTTTCTTTTCTATTTTGTGAGTTCTTGAATTTTAAGGTTTACAGTATAGATCTATTTGACAAGTTTTAAACTATAGGGCATGTATTTGATGACATAATTGAATTATTAACAAATAGATTAAAGGTCTAATATGAGGGGTACCGCATGGTGGGTTTTCTTGGCGGGTGTAAAATTTGGCGTTTTGCCTGCTCAAAGGTATGCCAATAATTATGGCGTAATTTATTTTAGCAGAGACAGTGTTTCAACTTTTTACAAATGAACACTAAGAAGAGTACTGAATATTTTAGCTATTAAATTTTTAGCAGGCTACCATCAAAATGCTAAAATAAGCCAAAATTAGCACCCACTAAAATAACCCACTATACGGTATTCCATAAATAATATCTTGGTCTTTACGGCATTCAATATCGAATTCATATGACATTAAGTTTGACTTTCTCTCGTGATTGAATCTTTAATGAATTGATTACAGTTTATGTGACTACTTTTCATCACATAGTTTCATTGTGAGAAGCTGGAAAACGAGGCTATTCGAGACACTGCACTGAAAATGACTGGTACAGAATCGGTAAACTAGAGAGAAATTAAACGCTTCATTAAAGCTGCTGTAAAACGCGTTAAGGATCCCAAAGAAATATTCACTGAAATATGTGAAATTTACAGAAACCAATGTCTGTTTTATAGACACATGAGCAGGCGGATTTCAATGAACAAAAACAAATGGGCATCTAAAATGGGTACCGTTGTACCCATTGTACTGTTTGCCAAAATTCAACAAATTATCATGGATGATGTTGGATTGATTTTAGGACACATGGAAAAAATTGATAGGCATCATTTTGGGGGTAGTTTACACTTCTAAAGAAACATCTGACAGTAAAAAAGCTCAGTAATCAATAGTCACACTATGTTTTGATATGAGAAAAAACGACAGCGTGTAAGAATATCTAAACAATTATTTTAATAAAATTAAATCATCAAAAGATGTAGTTATTTTTACGTTTGTCTGATATGCAAATGGATAATGAAACTTGAATCCATTTCTTTAAAGCCTCAAAACAAATTTACAATAAGATGCACTTGAATAAAACAACCAAGATCTGAGAAGAGCGAAGAATTGCAAAAGCACAAAACAGTTATATATGCAATTTTCTTAAATGCATATAGGTGGTCTTGTTCAAATTCTAATTCGGTATAGAAAGCACATTTTTGGAAAAAAAGAGAAAAAAAGTCGAAAGATTTTTGAGAGGATGGAACCAGAATCATAATCCACTACATTAAATTTCTTTATGACAGCATTCAAACCTACATGCCATAAAGAGTAAATAAGTTTTGGGGATAAACAAATAGTTAATGTTTTGTCACATCAACAATATTCGCCAGATCTTTCATCCTTTCACTTGTTTTATTTCCCAAACTTGAAAAAAAAAACACTTTTCAGAAAGAAGAAACAAGACAAGGAAATCATAGGATCTGCCATATTCCAGTATATATACGAAGAGTCATACTAAAAAAAAATGTGCTCTAAAAAAATCAGAAATTGGGTAAAAATGTTACGGACGTGTTTTTATAAAAAGAGAATATTTAAGTGAAATCATTAAGACTAAATCATTGAAAAGCGTTTTTAGCTCACCTGAGCCGAAGGTTCAAGTGAGCTTTTCTGATAACATTTTGTCCGTCGTCCGTCCGTCTGTCCGTCTGTAAACTTTTCACATTTTTGACCAAACTTCGTACAAAGTATTCTTGGGTGAAGGGGAATTTAAATTGTTAAAATGAAGAGCCAAGTCCCCTCACAAGGGGAGATAATTAAGAAAAGACAAAAATAGGGTGGGGTTATAAAAAAATCTTCTCAAGAACCACTGGGCCAGAAAAGCTGAAACTTATATGGAAGTATCCTGGGGTAGTGTAGATTCTAAATTATTAAAATCATGACCCCCGGGGGTAGGGCGGGGCCACAATGGGGAATCAAAGTTTTACACAGAAAAATATAGGAAAAATCTTTGAAAATCTTCTACTCAAGAACCACTGGGCCAGAAAAGCTGAAACGTACGTGGAAGCATCCTGGGGTAGTGTAGATTCTAAATTGCTCAAATCATCACCCCCAGGGGTAAGGCGGGGCCACAATGGGGAATCAAAGTTTTACAATGGGGAATCAAAGCATCCTATGGTAGTGTAGATTTCAAATCGTCTAAATTGTGATCAGTTGGGGAGGGTGGGGTCACAATATGTATTACAAGGGGGAAGTCTGGTAAAGAACGGAGTGGTCAAAGCTTCTCAGGTCAACGATGTGGCCCATGGGCCTCTAGTTGTTTCTTTCTGAGCACAGAGGACATTATTTATTGAAAAGCCCTTGTAAATGCAAGTCTTGATAAGACAAACACTTCAATACCCCGCCTATCGTGACGTCATTCCCTGTGCCTCCCGCTCAGGGGGCGCTATAGTAAAATACTGGTGTAGAACCCTGGGTTTTCACTATTCACTAGATAACCCTCTCCTGATGTAGAACCCTCGGGTTTCCACTACTCACTAGATAACCCCTCCCTTGGTATAGAACCCTTGGGTTTCCACTACTCACTAGATAACCCCTTCCTCAGGTGTAGAACCCTGGGTTTTCACTACTCACTAGATAACCCTGCCCCTGGTGTAAAACCCTGGGTTTCCACTTCTCACTAGATAACTCCTCCCCTGGTGTAGAACCCTCGGGTTTTCACTACTCACTAGATAACCCCTCCCTTGGTGTAGAACCCTGGGTTTTAACTACTCACTAGATAACCCCCTCCTCTGGTGTAGAACCCTGGGTTTCCACTACTCACTAGATAACCCCTTCCCCTGGTGTAGAACCCTGGGTTTCCACTACTCACTAGATAACCCTCCCCTGGTGTAGAACCCTCGGGTTTCCACTACTCATTAGGAAACCCCCTCCCCTGGTGTAGAACCCTGGGTTTTCACTACTCACTAGATAACCCCTTCCTCTGGTGTAGAACCCTGGGTTTTCACTACTCACTAGATAACCCCTTCCTCTGGTGTAGAACCCTGGGTTTCCACTACTCACTAGATAACCCCTTCCCCTGGTGTAGAACCCTGGGTTTTCACTACTCACTAGATAACCCCTTCCTCTGGTGTTGAACCCTGGGTTTCCACTACGCACTAGATAACCCCTTCCTCTGGTGTAGAACCCTGGGTTTCCACTACTCACTAGATAACCCTGGGTTTTCACTACTCACTAGATAACCCCTTCCTCTGGTGTAGAACCCTGGGTTTTCACTACTCACTAGATAACCCTCCCCTGGTGTAGAACCCTCGGGTTTCCACTACCCATTAGATAACCCTCCCCTGGTGTAAAACCCTGGGTTTTCACTACTCACTAAATAACCCCCTCCCCTGGTGTAGAACCCTCGGGTTTCCACTACCCATTAGATAACCCTCCCCTGGTGTAGAACCCTCGGGTTTCCACTACTCACTAGATAACCCCTTCCTCAGGTGTAGAACCCTGGGTTTCCACTACTCACTAGATAACCCCTTCCTCTGGTGTAGAACCCTGGGTTTCCACTACTCACTAGATAACCCGCTGCATTTCATTTCCGGAAATATGCATAGCATTTCCGACATTTTTTGTTTTCCACTAATTTTCTTTTCATTTCAATTTACCTGTGCTAAAGGGAAATTGAATTTTAAAAGTATTTATACCAAAATATTAATGAAAATTCAAAAGAATATATATACATATATGCATATATGTAGCTGGGTTTTCAATGAGCTAAAACTTGTTTCACATTTAATGTGCATAACCCCCTCCCCTGATAGATTTACAAAATTGAATTTCAATGATTTATTTATGTTTATTCCTTAAAATTTTTCATACAAATCTGTTACATATGTACTACATATGTATAAAAATCCCCAAAAAAATGTCGGAAATGAAAACTAGAAAATGTCGGAAATGAAAAGTTGATAATTACCAAAAATTCCGGAAATGAAATGCCTTCCTCTGGTGTAGAACCCTGGGTTTCCACTACTCACTAGATAACCCCTCCCCTGGTGTAGAACCCTGGGTTTTCACTACTCACTAGATAACCCTCCCATGGTGTAAAACCCTGGGTTTCCACCACTCACTAGATAACCCCTCCCCTGGTGTAGAACCCTGGGTTTCCACTACGCACTAGATAACCCCTTCATTTCATTTCCTGGTGTAGCATTTCCCATTTTTTGTTTTCCACATAATTTTCTTTTCATTTCCGAATTACCTTCCTTAAAGGGAAATGGAATTTTTAAAGTATTTATACCAAAATATTGATACAAAATAATAATAATAAAAAATAACTTTACATATATGCATATATGTAGCTGGGTAAAAAAGTTCAATGAGCATAAAACTTGTTTCAAGACATTTAATGTGCACTAAATTAAATGTCAGTGACAGCCCTCCAAGTCACTGATAGATTTACAAAATTGAATTTCAATGATTTATTTCTCTAAATTTTTCATAAGTAAAGTTATCAAATCGGTTACTATAGGTATTACATATGTATTTGAAAAATCCCAAAAAAATGGGAAATGAAAACTAAAAATGTGGAAATGTTGATAATTACCAAAAATTCACTAGATAAATGCCTCCTCTGGTGTAGAACCCTGGGTTTCCACTACTCACTAGATAACCCCTCCCTTGGTGTAGAACCCTGGGTTTCCACTACGCACTAGATAACCCTCCTCTGGTGTAGAACCCTGGGTTTTCACTACTCACTAGATAACCCTCCTCTGGTGTAGAACCCTGGGTTTCCACTACTCACTAGATAACCACTCCCCTGGTGTAGAACCCTGGGTTTCCACTACGCACTAGATAACCCCTTCCTCTGGTGTAGAACCCTGGGTTTCCACTACTCACTAGATAACCCATTCCATCTTTCCAAGCAGAGGATATAATACAAGGACGTGTTTCATTCAATGAATATATCTGTTGTATGTAAACGCCCAAACACTGTGCAATTATTCAAACGTTATAATGGCCAATTATTTTATTTATTACAGTAGGTCAAACTCCAAAATTCATGGTAAACTTAAGAGAAAGTGCTTATACAAATTACTTGATGTTGAAACATAAAAAAATCCGTGGAGCTCGGAAATTCAGAGGTGTAGTATTAAAATAAATATATTAGAAATTGAAATGATACAATTAAATTTATTTTTAAAAAGCAGAGAGTTGAAAGTCAAACAAACTTTTATTATTAATTTTATATAATATATTTTTTTTAATTTCCAGGTCAAATATTTTAAATAATCCAGTTAAATACAAGGCTGTCGCTTGGTTCCGACATGTTTCATACCACGAGGTTGTATTCATTCAGATTTCTGCGCTTTAATTTTAACAATTACTGGCATAGAATACACATGAGTAACCCAGAATAGGAGACGACGTACCCGGAATCGACGACTCAGCTAGACTCTATTAATATGGCAGGAAGAAGCGGTCGGGTGAGAAACAAAACAAACATTTTCTTCTCTCGACAATTTTTTTCATCCTCTACTTTATTAAGGACAGCTAGCAAATACAAGCTAGTGTACATTGTGCACTGCTTTTTATATCTCCTGTATAATTTCACAAACCTGTAGAGAAGAAATTTAATTCACTAAAACATGTAAAATCTAAAATATAATTTTTAGCCTACGTTCATTTTATAAACATATCCATAGGTGCCTGTGTTCTCATCGTAAGAAATGTTCAAGAACTATCTATCTCTCGATACTTCTCATCTTCAAATGTTGAGTATTCTGAGTAGGGAGTGCAGCTGGTTTAGGTTTCATCAAAAGTCAACATGTCCAAAAAATAATTCTACAAATATTATACCCCAAATCAATGTGAGATATAAAGTTGAAACTTTTACAGTTTATGAATATATCATTGTTTAACAGATAGAAAGTATCATTTGAAAACAAATATTTAAAAAGAATATTTTTATCAAGAAAAATATTTATCAAAAAATTTGCATAAATTTCAAACAAATGCACCTGCTTAATTCTGTACTTTTAGTGAAAACCATCATTGCAGAAATAATATAAGTTTATCAATGAAGGACAAGTTGGACGTGAATGGTCTTTAAATGGTCTTATAAAGAATGGCATGTATATAAATACAAGACCCTTTAAAATCCGCCATTTGCAATGTACTTTCGGTTTCAAATCTTAACATTTGGACAAAATAATCAGGGAAAACAACTTTCCAGAGGCTAGCGATGTCCAACTTGCCCCTCATTGATAAAATATATTTCATTTTCTACAAAGGTGGCTTTTGCTAAAAGCATATGGAATTAATGAGGCGATTTATGAAAAATATAAGCAATTTCTAAGAAGATTTATTTCTCGATATATATTTTTAGGTCACCTGAGTAACTCAGGTGACCTATTGCTATCCGTTTTCGTCCGTCGTCGTGCGTCGTGTGTTAACATTTGAACATTTTCAGCTTCTTCTCTGAAACCACTGAACCAATTTCAACCAAATTTGGTATACAGCATCTATGGTGAATTTTATGGTCCCCACTCCCCTGGGGCATGAGGGGTGGGGCCAAAACCACTAAAATTATTGCAATCTTTAAAAATCTTCTTCTTTACTCCTGGACATCAAGCAGGCAAACTGTTGGCATGAAAGTAATGAGCATTGAGTCCTCTACCAAAATTGTGAAATTCGTGGCCCCAGGGTCAGGGGTTCTAGTGCTAGGGTGGGGCTATATAGATTATATAGTGAAAATGCATTATTTCTTTGAAAATCTTTTTCTCTGCTCCTGGGTATTAAATAAACTAACTAAGTAAATAGTTATGATGAGCAAGAGTGCCTCTTCCAAAATTATGAATTTTATGGCCCCAGGGTCAGGGGTTCTGGTGTTAGGGCGGGGCTCTATTGGTTATATAGTGAAAATGCATTTATTCTTTGAAAATCTTTTTCTCTGCTCCTGGGTATTAAGTAAACTAACTAAGTACATAGTTATGATGAGCAAGAGTGCCTCTTCCAAAATTATGAATTTTATGGCCCCAGGGTCAGGTGTTCTGGTTTTAGGGCAGGGCTCTATTGGTTAAATAGTGAAAATGCATTTATTCTTTGAAAATCTTCTTCTCTGCTTCTGGGTATTAAGCAAACTAACTAAGTACATTGTTATGATGAGCAAGAGTGCCTCTTCCAAAATTATGAATTTTATGGCCCCAGGGTCAGGGGATCTGGTGTTAGGGTGGGGCTCTATTGGTTATTTAGTGAAAATGCATTTATTCTTTGAAAATCTTCTTCTTTCCTTCTGGGTATTAAATAAACTAACTTAGTACATAGTTATGATGAGCAAGAATGCTTCTTCCAAAATTGTGAATTTTGTGGCCCCTGGGTCAGGGGTTCTGGCGTTAGGGCGGGGCCCTATTGATTATATAGTGAAAATGCATTAATTCTTTGAAAACCTTCTTCTCTGCTCCAGGGTATTAAATAAACTATGTAAATACATCATTATGTTGATAAAATTGTGAATTTTATGGCCCCATCATTATGTTTTAGGGCAGGGCAAGAAAATGTGAAAATCTTCTTTTTTCCTGGGTATTAAATAAACTAATTAAGTATATAGTTATGATTTTAAATTGTGAATTTTATGGCCCCAGGGTCAGGGGTTCTGGTGTTAGGGGGAGGGGGGCTCTATTGATTATATAGTGAAAATACATTAATTCTTTGAAAATCTGTCCTTTGCTCCTGGGTTTTATGCCAATGATCCAAGAATATATATTTATGATGAAGAAAGGTACATCTAGCAAAATGGTTATTTTTTTTTATGCCCCCCCCCCCCTCCTGGGTTGGGGGAAATAAATTTATGCTTTGAAATCTACTCTTTGGTATTAATCAACCATTTTATGATAAAATTTGCAAAATTTTGAAATATGTGGCCCCAAGGTCAGTGGTTCCTTTGCGATGATGTGCACCACTGGTTATAAAGTGGAAGTGCATTTTCTCTTTGTTACTCTGATCTACCTTTGGGTATTAAGTAAATAGAGTTAGCATTCTAAGTCTATAATTATAATAAGCAATGGTGCCTCTTTCAAAATTGTGAATTGCGAATTTCATAGCCTCTGGTTTAAAACACGAGCCAAATTTAATTGTTTGAAAGTTGTTGCACAATACTCAGGTGACCTATAAGACCCGTGGGCCTCTTGTTATTCATGCAGCATGTATGCTATCAAATGGTACTTTCTATCTTTCAAGGAATGATATATTTATAAGCTGTAAATGTTTCAACTTTTAAACCTCATAGTTTACAAGCTGATATATTGTAACAAGAGGCCCATGGGCCTTATAGGTCACCTGAGCATTATGCAGCAACTTTCCAGTGATTGAATTTGATTCATGTTTTAAGCCAGATGCTACAATGTATGGCATTCACAATTTTGAAAGAGGCACCATTGATCATTATAACTTTACACTTAGCAGTTGCTTAGTTTGGTTACTTTATACCCAAAAGCAGGGTAGGGAAACAAAAAATGCATTTCAACTAATCAGTAATATTCAGCAATAATCAGTAGTGGCCCTACCACACATGAACCCCTGACCCTTAGGCCTAGATCCACACATTGCACAATTTTTGATAAGGCATCCTTGCTTTTCAAAAATATTTGATTAATACCAAGGAGCAGATTTCAAACAATTCATTCATTTTCTGTATGTAAGTATAGCCCCCCCCCCGTCTATGGTACCCCTGACCTTGGGGCCTTGATATTCAAAATTCTGGAAGATTAGGGCCCTTGCTTATAACTATTTAGGTAGTTCATCTGCATAATACCTAGGTGCAGAGAAGAAAATTTTCAAAGAGTTCATGTATTTTCACTATATAATCAATAGAGCCCCGCCTTAACACCAGAACCCCTGACCCTGGGGCCATAAAATTCACAATTTTGGAAGAGGCATTCTTGCTCATCATAACTGTGAACTTAGTTAGTTTATTCAATACCTAGGAGCAGAGAAGAAGATTTTCAAAGAATTCATGTATTTTCACTATATAATCAATAGAGCCCTGCCCTAACACCAGAACCCCTGATCCCGGGTCCATAAAATTCACAATTTTGGTAGAGGCACTCTTGCTCATCATACCTATGGACTTAGTTTATTTAATACCTAGGAGCAGAGAAGAAGGCTTTCAAAGAGTTCATGTATTTTCACTATATAATCAATAGAGCGCCACCCTTACACCAGAACCCCTGACCCTGGGGCCATAAAATTCACAATTTTGGTAGAGACACTCTTGCTCATCATAACTATGCACTTAGTTGGTCTATTCATTTCCTAGAAGCAGAGAAGAAGACTTTCAAAAGAGTTCATGTATTTTCACTATATAATCAATAGAGCCCCGCCTTAACACCAGAACCCCTGACCCTGGGGTCCTAAAATTCACAATTTTGGAAGAGGCATTCTTGCTCATCATAACAATATACATAGTTAGTTTATTCAATACCTAGGAGCAGAGAAGAAAATTTTCAAAGAATTCATGTATTTTCACTATATAATCAATAGAGCCCCACCCTTACACCAGAACCCCTGACCCTGGGTCCATAAAATTCACAATTTTAGTAGAGGCACTCTTGTTCATCATAACTATGCACTTAGTTGGTCTATTTATTTCCTAGAAGCGGAGAAGAAGACTTTCAAAAGAATTCATGTATTTTCACTATATAATCGATAGAGCCCCGCCTTAACACCAGAACCCCTGACCCTGGGGCCATAAAATTCACAATTTTGGAAGAGGCTGACTTGCTCATCATAACTATGAACTTAGTTAGTTTATTCAATACCTAGGAGCAGAGAAGAAAATTTTCAAAGAATTCATGTATTTTCACTATATAATCAATAGAGCCCTGCCCTAACACCAGAACCCCTGACCCTGGGTCCATAAAATTCACAATTTTGGTAGAGGCACTCTTGCTCATCATACCTATGCACTTAGTTTATCTAATACCTAAGAGCAGAGAAGAAGGTTTTCAAAGAGTTCATGTATTTTCACTATATAATCAATACCATAATGCCTTTACACCAGAACCCCTGACCCTGGGGCCATAAAATTCACAATTTTGGTAGAGACACTCTTGCTCATCATAACTATGCACTTTGTTGGTCTATTTATTGCTCAGGAGCAGAGAAGAAGATTTTGAAAGAGTTCATGTATTTTCACTATATAATCAATAGAGCCCCACCCTTACACCAGAACCCCTGACCCTGGGGCCATAAAATTCACAATTTTGGTAGAGGCATTCTTGCTCATCATAACTATGCACTTAGTTAGTTTATTTAATGCCTAGGAGCAGAGAAGAAGATTTTCAAAGAAATAATGCATTTTCACTATATACTTATTTAGCCCCACCCTAGCACTAGAACCCGACCCCAGGGCCATGAATTTCACAATTTTGGTAGAGGACTCATTGCTGAATACAATCATGCAAACAGTTTGACTGTTTGATGTCCAGGAGTAAAGAAGAAGATTTTTAAAGATTGCATTAATTTTAGTGGTTTGGCCCCACCCCTCAGGCCCCAGGGGGGGGGGGGGCAAGGATCATGAAATTCATAATTTTGTTTCCCTTCCCCCATAGATGCTTTGTGCCAAAGTTGGTTGAAATTGGTGGAGTGGTTGCAGAGAAAAAGTGAGAAAAGTTCAAATGTTAACGCACGACGGACGACGCACGACGACGGACGAAAACGGATAGCAATAGGTCATCTGAGTTTACACAGGTGACCTAAAAATAAAAGTTTTGGACAGTTGATCTTTGATAAAACCTTAAAAGATATTTTTAAAAAATGTAGAGAAAAGTAAATTTCAATGTGTGAAAAGGGAATACACATGCACTTCATACATCCATTCTTTGTGTAAAGACCTTTCATTGAGTACCAACAACTTTTACCTTTTAACCTTGACCTTGGTGATTTAAATACGTATGAAAAAATTTAACCTTGGCCATAACATTTGAACGGTAAGGGATAGGGCTTTTATACTCCACATATTTTAATTTTTGTGACAAGACCTTTCATTTGATATCAAGAACCTTGACCCTTTGACCTTGGAGTTTGACCTAAGTTTACACAAAAATCCAAAGTTTTACTTTGGCCCTAGTTTTTAAAGAGTATTTACCAGGAACTTCATACAAGACTTTCATTTAAAATCAACAATTTTAACTTTTGACCTTGAAGAAATCCGTCCCTACGAAAAAACATTAAACTTGACCTTAACTTTTGAACTGCAAAGTCTTCATATATTCATAAACTTCACATACTAGTATGTAAATCCTTATGAGAAGACCTTTCATTGGAAATCAACAACTTTGACCCTTTGACCTTGGAGTTTGACCTACTTTTTACAAACTTTATTCTTGGCCATAACTTTTGAACAGTAAGGACTAGAGCTTTCATACTTTACATTTGTAATCCTTGTGACAAGACCTTTCATTAGATATCAGCAACCTTGATCTTGACCTACTTTTTAAAAACTTTAACCTTGGCCATAACTTTTGAACGGTAAGGGCCAGCGCTTTTATACTTAACCATGTGTAATCTTTGAGACAAGGCCTGTTTTTAGAAACCAACAACCTTGACCCTTTGACCTTGACCCCAGAGTTTGTCCAACCTTCCAAAATGTTAACCTTGGTCATAATCTTTTAATGGGTGGTGCTAGGGTTTTATATTTCACATTTGTATTTCTTTTGAAAAGGCCTTACATTAGGTACCAATATATTTGATCTGCATTTGAGAAAGCGTAACCTTCGATATGTTGCCATACGGGAGCATGTGTTTCACAAACACATCTTGTTTTACTTTGGTGTTCATGCTACATTGTATAGCTAGCTTACGTATGCGCGATGTCATGTTTATTTCGGAAGTTATTGTACATGTATATGCAATAACTTCCGAAATATAATTGATACCCCTTAGCCCCGCCTCCTCCACTTTATCAAGATTTAATTAATGCACAGCGATCTTCAAAGGAAAAACACCGCAATCATGATAAAATTTTATTTAATTGCGTTTTTAATGACCTCTCCCTTTACCGGAAGTACGTTTTTTATTCACGGAAGTACATTAAAGTATTTTGTATCATGGTTGTAGTGTTTTTTCTTTGAGATGCTCAGTCTTTTTTCTCATAAAGCAAAGCATGCTAGAGAGATATCCCCCTTACTGAAAAAAAATATTTTACGAATAAATACACTGTAGTAAAAGGGCTTGCCAATTGAACAAGTAGCCCTTCTGTGGGAAATGAACTGAACTGAGGGGATTGCTACAAGACCATGAATCATCTTGTACATAAGGACAAGCCTTGCAACCGCCCTCCGTTTCTATAAGCTTCGCCAACCTAGGGTGTGTAACATGTATGAGACACTTGATGTTCTTCTAAAATCTTCTAAAATCCGACATCACCCACCTTGCAGCCCTGCGCTGTACAGCCTCAATTTGGTTAATATATGTAACCAAATGAGGGTCCCAAACGCTTGCAACATACTCTGAAAGCTGTGGACATACCACGACCTTGTATGCTAACCGAAGCTGCTCAGTGGTTCCTGGTCGGTATATTTCTGCATAAAAAGCCAAGGGAGCTGTTGGCTTTGTTTGTAACCCAATTAATGTGATTACTTCAATTAAGGTCATCTAATATATGGAGTTTAAGTTGCATTATTGTATTTGGATATCGTATATTTGCAATATTATACCGGTACTCAGACTCATAGAATAAGCAAGTTTCCTTATATATTCTTTTCACGTAACCACAAAGTAGTTTTGTAAGATGTAGCTAGTAAATAACTATAAAACATGATGATCTCAAAAATATACTTTAACAATACTGTAATTGAATACTCAATATTCTCTGTAGTACTTACAAACCATGGACAAGGGAGATTCTGCGGATGAAGAGACCGGCATAGATGACGAGCACAACAAGCACAACGACCCAGCAGGCGACAGTATGTAGAAAACTTTAGTAAAGAAGAAGATCACTTATGGCCTTTTTGGGCCCTTTGAATTTTTGAAAAACTGAAATTGCCCAATTTTGTTAACAATGTATCTCGGAAATGGGAATGTTTTAACATTCGTAGAATATTTAAACGTTTACATGCTTTTTCATAAGTAATTTGTATGTGAGATTTCCAGTTGGCATCACACTGAAAATTAATTCCTAAATGTCTAAATGATGCGTTAATAGAAATATATATGTCATCTATTAGACCAGTTTTAGAATTTGGTGATGTTGTTTGGGATAATTGTGATTATTTATTACAATCTTTATTGGATTATAATCTTTATTGGATCTTTATTGGATTATAATCTTTATTGGAAGAAGTTCAAATTACTGCTGCAAGAATTATTACAGGAATGAGAGTGAACTCATCAAGAACACTTTTATATGATGAATTGTGGTGGAATACATTATCTGACAGAAGGAAAGTGCATAAATTAATATTATTTTACAAAATAGTGTATGGAATAGCGCCACAATACCTTCAAGATCTATCAAGACCTTGTATTCCACCCCATATTCATTAAGAAACAATGATGGTCTTACATTTTTTATTCCTCAAACGAGGACCACATCATATATGAAAAGTTATTTCCCATCTACAATTTAAATATGGAATAAATTACCATACCATATGAAATTTACCAACACTTCTTTCACTAATGCTATTAAAAGACTCATTATAGAACACCCAATAAGCTTTTTAATCATGGAAATCGTAGTCAAATTATTATTCATTGTCAATTAAGAAATAATGCTGGAGTTTAAATGGTGATTTACAGAAAGATTATATATTAAGTGATTGTTCAAAATGTGAAAACTGGTTTTCATACAGAAAATGCGTACCATTTTTTCTTTGAATGCCCATGTTATATTGAGCAAAGAAATACTCTTTTAAATTGTATATCTAGTATAGACCTGCAACATCCAGTATCCCTAACCTTGTACCTTTGGAGAGGGCTTATATATAGGTTATGCCTGCTGCACAATCCATTTTTGTGTTTCTTACATAATATGTTTAAAAAAAAGATCCAAGGGCCACTTATTTCAAAATTTTTGAAATTTTATCGTGAATTTTATTTCATCATAATTTGTTGATTAATATCAAAGTGCAGATTTCAAAGCATTAATTTATATTCAGACTATGTACCCTCCCCGTCCAAATAGGTCTGACCAAGGGGCCCGGAAATTAACTATTTTGAAAGAAACAGCTTTTTTCATCATAAATATGTACTTACATCATTGATATAATACCCAGGAGCAAACGTTTTTCAAGGAATTCATCCATTTTCATTATATAATATTACAGCCCCGCCCTTACACATGAAGCCCTGACCCAGGGGCCCTGAAATTCACAAATCTCAAAGAGGCATTGTTACAACGCACTTTGAAAAATTACGCACTTTGAAAAATTACGCACTTTGAAAAAAAATTTCAACCGTGCGTTAAATTTGAGACCAAATTAACGCACTTTGAAAAAATAAAATTTCTTTTCAAAGTGCGTTAATATCGACCATATTAACCGCACTTTGAAAAAAAATGTATGGCTTGGTCAAACCCCACTAGACCCCTAACCCTGGGGCCATGAATTTCACAATTTTGGTAGAGGACTAAATGCTGATTACAATCATACCTACAGATTGACTGCCTGATGTTCAGGAGTAAAGAAGAAGATTTTTAAAGATGGCAGTAATTTTAGTGGTTTTGGCTCCTACCCCCAAACCCCAGGGGGCAGGGACCATGAAATTCACAATTTATGTTCCAGTTCACCCGTAAATGCTATCTGCCTAAATTGGTTGAAATTGGTCAGCGGTTTCAGAGGAGACGCTAAAAATGTTCAAATGTTAATGCACGACGCATGGCGAACGACGACGGACGATAACGGATAGCAATAGGTCACCTGAGTTGACCTAAAAACAGATTTTAAATCTATTTTTTAATACTGAATATCGAACACAACCTCTGATCTAAAATAAGCAGCCAGTAATTAATAGAACTTTCTCTCAGGATTACAAGATAATTATGTTATTTTTTTAATCAGATGGTGCGCTCATACTATTTTTCGTCTCTGAGTACTCAAATATACTGTTTACATTAAAATTCAAGAACAATTGCATTTCCATAGAGCCTGCATGTGTTACAAAACCTGGAGTTTAAAAAGAAAAAATAATAGGAAATGAAAGTACTAAGTCTCTACTTTATATTAAATTGATGTTTAAAATAACATAAAATGTTAGTCAATAAATTGGTATATCTACAGGGCTGTTATATGCATAAATGAACCAAGCTCTTAAACATTTAATTTGAAAGTGGAAGCAATTGAAAATTATACACAGAGAACAGGTTATTCCAATAAAGAAATCAAATGTGAACAAAATCCTGACTGTCTGCTTGTCAGTGATACTGCCCAATCGGACTGGAACATCGTACACTATTCCGAAATATTTGGGTTGTTATAAAGCTACTTATGAATACACTTAAATACTCACAAAACAAAAAAGTCTTCAACTAGAAAGTACCCGTTAATTGAAGTGTGAGGACATGGATATGAACTTAAAACTATTTTTTAGTTATTGACTTATGTCTTTTGTTGTGTTGCAGCTGTGGAGGTCGTGATTTGGACAAGGGATATGGTTGGCATCCACCACATCACTGGATACGAAGCCACCGCCGAAAATTTGTTTAAGATTGTTGTGGAGGAGAAACAGTTGCCACCAGAAAGTGAAAACATTTTCTCCATCTGGCTGGTGTCTCCCCTGCTTGGTAAGATAACAATGTTGTCTCTGGTAATCTCCAAATCATAATATGGAACGCCAAATTAACATATATTCAAATAATTGCACCTATCTTTAAATAATTTTACCTATATCTTCGAATGAATTGAAGATAAAAGTACAGTTGAATTAAAGATAGGTACAACTGCATTGGAGATAGGTGTAAATAAGTACACCTATCTTTAAATAGTTATACCTAGGTAAAAATGAATAATACCTATCTTTAATGGAATTACACATATCTTCAATTCAATTAAAGATAGATTCAATTGAATTATACCTATCTCTAATTCATTGAAGATGGGTATAATTGATTTGAAGATATAATGTATGTTCAATCAAAACATATTCACAAAGGATATGAAGATAGGTACAATTCAATTATACCTAGGTTGAACTCGTTTTGTGTTGTTGAAAATAATGAACGCCCCCTTGGAAACAATACTGTATAGGGGGAAAATAACTCGCGGTGTTAATATTCGCTATATTCACGGTGTTAATAAATCCGTGAATTCAAGAAACAGTGAATAAATTTTCAATAATCTCCAGGTTTTATTTGGAATTTTGAGAATAGACAACGATAGGGCTACATACATGTACGCGAAGTAGTTGGTCATTTTGGCCGGTAATTATGAGTAGTATACTCGTCATTCAATTAATTTAATTATCACGCTTACCTTAAATTCAAATCAGCAGATAATAACCCGTATTTGTTAAACAAGCTGTTTTAATAGCCAACGCTACATGTTTCATCAATCAAAACACGTGGGTCTTGGGTTTTGATCACCCGTGCGTAACTAATGTTACCACGTGTATTTGTTACTGCATTATCATATGCATGCATATGAGTTTTTCATATCGACAGTTTGGTTTTAAAAAATCATTCAAATAACTACAGAACTTACTGAAGATGTGGAAGGATATTTCGTCGACCTTTTCCAACATTAACACATTTATTACCGTCCAGTGCTTTTTCGTTGCATTGTATCGAAGATCTTAGGGTGTACACGCACTCATTGTTATAGCGTATAGGAAAGACATTTGATGTTTAGAGTCAAGGACTTTCGATAACTGCACTTGTATTAATTAATCGTCATTTTTTTTTTATATCAAATCAAATTATTTTACTTAAACTTACCCCGTTGTTCGTGAAATAAAGTCATAACACTGATTATTATTAATATCGTTTACATGTAGCTATGGTAGGGATAAACGGATATAGACAAGGGAGGTAACTTTTATTATGTACCAATTCCGCGAATTCAAGAAACCGCGATCGTGTCAAATGAGAAAAAACGTGAAAATTACAACCCGTGAAATTAATCCCCTATACAGTATTGAACATTGAGGGAAACGCATAGAACCTACAGGAGCGATGACAACGATCGAGGATGAAAGGAGAAAATGAAGATAAATTCAAAAGCACCATATACTTATTGAAATATACATGTATATCATGAATGGCAGCCAAATGAAGATTCCGAAAAACTTTGATTGCTGTGATTTACCGGAAATGACGTATGATGAAGGGAGAAGTTATTATTGCCAATGGCTCACTAATTGAAGATAGGTTCAATTCAATTGTACCTATCTTTAAATCAATTATAAATACCTATCTTCAGTTCATTGCATTTGTACCTTAATCTTCAGATCAATTGTACCCATCTTCAAATGAATTAAAGATAATTATGTATAACTGAATTGTACCTATCTCTAATTCATTTGAAGATAGGTATAATTGATTTAACGATAGGTACAATTCATTTGAAGATAGGTACAATTATTTGAATATACATGTATGTTAATTTGGCGTTCCATATTATGCAAATATAGCTCTAAAGAAGTACCATAGAAATTAACATTGCTTAATAACAGGTTTTTGATTGGTAGATTTTATGAATTATGTCTATGTTGTGAAACCTAGTAGATTTTAATATATTAGGCTAATGAATTAATTATAACCATGATAACACAATCATTTTATATGGATTGAAAATTTATTTCTTAAATTGACCAAAAGTTATCATGGTTGGCAATTCCTCAGTGTACACTTTCATAATTGTATATAATTATATCATATATAACATACTCCAGCATGCTAGAGGTTCACGGAGAGATACTTTTAACTTGGCGCTGTGAGGTATGTAAGGATGTAAAGGGATGTAAACCAAGGCTCTTACTTGTAGGAGTACATAGCACCCATCTCATGTAGTTCAAATATTGGGATTAAACTTAATCTGATTTTAAACTGAAGATTCAGTATACAGCGAAACAAGTTCATAAGAAAGTGTCAGGGACAGACAATTTTCTTTGTTAAAAGCTTTATTCGTTATATCCATTAAGTTAATGGATATTAATTAATTAATTATATTTTGAAGTTATGGGGAAAATCGCTTAATTCGTTTTAAGTGTCAATTTGTTTAAGCGTGTTGGCCATACTCCTCTTTTACAGTATATGCAAGTATTTCTTTGTTTTATACAAATGAGAATAATTTGTTTTTGCATAAGATCTTTTGTCCTTCCAGAACTAAGATTAAAAAAGAATCACATACCATTCCAGTTTGCACAGTTGTGGGACGAGTACTGTGAGTTGTACACAGATGCTAATCCCGATGAAATCTCAAGAGGTATGACATTTCTCACCAGGAAAAATGTAAAGTTTTATTAAATATTTAGCAAATACTTAGCAAATACTTCTGGTAAGGTTGGTCAAAAAAAGTAGAAAATGGTCTACGCTACTGTAGATTCCTATTTATCCGTGCTAAATTAATTATCGCGTAATTTTGCAAGAAGCACAACCAAATTAAATTACTCGCTTTAATATTTATGGACAGGTGCTGAAATATATCTAAAAAATTCTTGATCAACCATCCATTCACGAATTATTATTATTCTTGCGATTTGACGTTGAAGAGCCAAATCTCGATAATAATAATTACTCACGAAAAATAAAGAAACTACAGTATTCACTTCTATTTTTTGTACTTTTTACCTCGACAGATGAACCTGTTGTGATGTTCCAGAGAAATGTATTTCTTACTCTTGAAGAGGAAATGAAGGTACGTAATAAATAATTGCTTTTACTAACAATTCATTGATTCACAAAAATAAAACCTTTTTGGATATTCTTGTGACATATAAATGCGTAAAACTGAAGTAACTTGTAGATTTCGGATGAAGTGGTCTTGAACTTGCTGTACCATGAAGCCAAATTTAACGTGATAGAGGGTCGATATGTGTTACAAGCGGAGGAATATGACCAGTTGGCAGGAATTCAGGCGTTAATTCATCTAGAACATTACAATGAAAAAACACACACACTGGAACACTACAAGTAAGTACCAGATATAATTTGGAACAATTCATTGTGTTTTAAGTGGTGAAACATCTACAATATTATTTTACATACTGTATGCAGAGTAATCTCGCCCTATGTTATATCTGCAAACGAGTTTGCCCTATCCTTAATTTACAAGATACAGTTTTGTTAGAAAGACATGTTGCTGTTTAGTCTAATTTTTTTCCTGTTAAGGACAGTCGATACAAACAAAAATGGATGCCTGGATTGGTATATATTTTTTGGCCTAGTTTCACTGCAAATGATGCAAATAATAAATTTCTAGAATATAAAGAAATTGTAAACCTTCTGTAATGTTTAAAGGTCTGCCTGTCTGAAACAATCCTTACTAATCTACACAAATATTTTTCACTTTAAATTCCATTTAAAGTGAAAAAGTTAAAAACTACGCGGTGAAAGTTATTCATTTTATTCGTTTAAACCACAGGGGCTTGTCACGAAATATTTATCTTCTTTTAATAAAGTTACCCCTACTATAAAAATACACAGTGTATTTTTATAGTAGGGGTAACTTTATTAAAAGAAGATAAATATTTCGTGACAAGCCCCTGTGGTTTAAACATGACCGAAGTTGTAATTTTCAAATTCTTTGACAAAAGTTTGTTTGTATCATCTGTACTTAAGATTAGCTCACTTATGACAAAGATGTGTTTGTGAAACACTATGTGCCCGGCGGCAACAAAGTTTAAAAGAGCTATTTTTAGCATATAGGTCACAGTCAAGGTCAAAAGGTCATTGAATTTGGTGTCATTTGAAAAAAACTTAATTTGTGGAGTATGCATATCAAATATGAAGTCTCTATCTCTCAAGGTTGAAAAGTAATGGCGAACGGAAAAGTTGACAACAGACAGAGAGACAAACAGACAGACAGGACAAAAACAATATATACGCCCCGATCAATCGATACGGGGGCATACAAACGGGGGAAAAATTTCCATGATATACCGCATAGAAGAAATATGTAGATTATAAAAGCAATGATTCATGATTGAACCATATAGTATGTACTGTAATGTTTTTTTCTCTATGGGGTGTTTGTTTTTACCCGCGTCACAAAATATTGTGGATCCCGTGTATAAATTCAGGAACTCTAGATCTTTATAGATCTAACATAAGAACAACGACAAAGTTCGTTTCAACGATTGTATTAATAATATCTAAGTGCATGCAGTTTTACAAATCAAATCCAAGCTATGTATATCAGCTCACTAACTCTCTCCCTTATATACCCTGTCTGACACCTAACGTGATTTAGGGCACTTGTTAGGAGGGCGTTAGGCTCCATCGTTAGGGCACCTGTTAGGGCGTTAGGCTCCATCATTAGGGCACCTGTTAGGGCATTAGGCTACATCGTTAGGGCACTTGTTAGGGCGTTAGGCTCCATCGTTAGGGCACCTGTTAGGGCGTTAGGCTCCATCATTAGGGCACCTGTTAGGGCATTAGGCTACATCGTAAGGGCACCTGTTAGGGCAATCGGCTCCAAGTATTAGGGCCTCTGCACCATCGTTAGGTGTCAAGACACTTGATACATTTAGGGCATCTGATAAGCGCCATATATTAAGGACACTAATTAGGCTCCAAGATTAGGGCACCAATCAGATACCATGGATAGGGCTTATCAGATAAATAAAATTCTTATCTTTTTTTATTTATAACAATAACATATTTTCATATAAAACAAAAACATTACAGTACGTCCTTGGTCAATGTTTGTGGTAAATTTCGAGAACCAGTATATTATAATCAGTATCCATGATATGATTTAGCTCCAACATTGAAATCATGTATATATAATTTTAACAGAGAAGAGCTTCATAAGTTCTACCCAGCACATATGCGGAAACCAAAGAATACAAAATTTTTCAACTTCGGTGGAAACAGGAACGATGAAGCACTAGAGGTCAGAGTTCAGAGCATGCATCAACAGATCAGTGCCGAGTATAAAAACACCGACATAAAAGAAGCACTGGGTAAATTGTACAGGAAATACCTGGAGGTCTGCTGGCAGTATGCTTTCTATGGGTAAGTTTTCAATGAGTAAGTTTTCTATAAGTAAGTTTTCTTTGAGTAAGAAATCTATGAGTAAGATTTCTATGGGTAAGATTTTTATGGGTAAGATTTCTTTGAGTATATATGTTTTCTATTTGTAAGTTTTCTATGGGCAAGTTTTCTATGAGTTATAATTAGTTTAATATGGGTAAGTTTTCTATGAGTAAGTTTTCTAATGGGAAAGTTTAATTTCTATGGGTAAGATTTCTATAGTTAAGATTTCTATGACTAAGTTTTCTATGGTTAAGTTTTCTGTGGGTAAGAATTCTGTGGGTAAGTTTTCTATGATTAAATTTTATATGGGTAATTGTTTTCTATGGGAAAGTTTTCTATTGGTAAGTTTCTACATTGATTTGAATCTTATGAACCTCATTATTTCCAACATTGATATTTTGAATACCATTGCAGATATGTTAAAGAAGTTGAAAATTACAACAACTAATTTACCTCTCAGCCTAATCAAGTTTTAGATAGAAGTTTAACTGTATGCATACATGTGTACTTAACTAAACTGATGGTCAAACTCCTTCAGAATTTAAATTCTTGTATTAATACCTCTGTAAGTGTCAGATTTTAACTGTAATATACTGATGTGTTTATCTGCAGAAGTGCCTTTTTTGAGGGGAGGGTTCAGAAGCCGGTAGGAAAGATAATAGGCCACCTTCCCGGCGTGGACAAAGACATAGACGTCCTGATCGCTCTGAACACAGACGGGATCTGTATCATTGATCAGCTGAGAGAGGTAGGGATACAATCTAGGTTTTAAGAGGAAGCTCTAAACACAGGACACTAAAGAGTTCTAATTGTAGGGTATTTTTATGTTGTTAGAGTGATCTGCCCTTAGAGGTGTGAAAGAAAAAATGGTTATTTACAGTTAATTACCTGGTACACAATTTTTAGCTCTACTGGTCAGAGACTAGAAGAGCTTATGCGATAGTAATGCGTCCGTCGTCCGTCCGTCTGTCTGTCCGTCTGTCTGTCTGTCCGTCTGTCTGTCTGTCTGTAAACAATCTTTCAAAATGCTACTCCTCCTACAGTTTTGGTCTGATTTCAATATAACTTGGCACACAGGTAGACTACACTAAGATACATAATTCTGTGTATCGGTTTTTGATTTTGATTAACGGTGTTGCCGTTGTTACTAAAAATAGAAATTTCTGTGAAATTCTTTCAAAATGCTACTTCTCCTACAGTTTTGGTCTGATTTCAATATAACTTGGCACATAAGTAGACTACACTAAGATACGTAATTCTGTTTATTGGTTTTGGATTTCAATGAACGGTGTTGCCGTTGTTACTAAAAATAGAAATTTCTGTGAAATTCTTTCAAAATGCTACCTCTCCTACAGTTTTGGTCTGATTTCAATATAACTTGGCACACAAGTAGACTACACTAAGATACATAATTCTGTATATCAATTTTTGATTTCGATGAACGGTGTTGCCGTTGTTGCTACAAATAGAAATTTCTGTGAAATTCTTTCAAAATGCTACTCGTCCTACAGTTTTGGTCTGATTTCGGTATAACTTGGCTCACAAGTAGACTTAACTAAGATACATAATTCTGTTTATCGGTTTTTGATTTCGATGAACGGTGTTGCCTTGTTACTAAAAATAGAAATTTCTGTGAAATTCTTTCAAAATACTACTCCTCCTACAGTTTTGGTCTGATTTCAGTATAACTTGGCACACAAGTAGACTACACTAAGATATACGTAATTCTGTATATTGGTTTTTGATTTCGATGAACGGTGTTGCCATGGTAACTAAAAATAGAAATTTCTGTTAAAAAATCTCAAAATGCTACTTTTCCTGCAGTTTAAGTCTGATTATAATATAATGTGGCATGCAAGTAGACTATACTAAGAACATAAAGAGACTTAATCAAGGATCATTATTCTTTTTATTGCTGTGGTAAAGTTTCAATTCCCAACTTCTTAAGAACTTTTCTCTTCCTTTGCTATAAGTACAAACCAGTAGAGCTTCAGTCTCGACAGAGACTTCTGGTTAATAGACTAAAATATGCTTAGCATTATATTAGACCAAGAATAAGTAAATGAATTTGTTATTTCCATTAATTTTCCCAATGTAAGTAAACAAAAGTGTTTTTGTTCACATTAGTCTATTGTCTTTGAACATTTTTCCTGCAGAATTAGGGCAGGTACCTTGTGTTGAAAATGAATTTAAGATTTTTTTGGGGGGGGGGTGAACCTGAGTTGCTAAATTTTACATTTAACAAAGGAATATAATTTTAATGCATTTATTCGATATAACGATTTCAGTATTCATTTCACAACGACATGTATAGCGCATATTTGTAAAATCCTAAGTGTAGTACATCTAGTGATAAATTAAGTATGTTGAAGTTGTTTTCTATACTTATGAATGTGATAAATCTTTGGTGTTTTTTTTCGTGGTGATTAAAGTCTTTTTCTAAATTTATAATTGTGATAAATCTTTGATTTTTGTTTTGTAAATAAAGTTGTCTAAACTTATGAATTTCTTATTTGTAGGAACCAATGCTGGCCGTGCCGTATGAAGATCTTTCCTGGCATCTGAAAACCTTTAAAAAGGAGGAAAACAGAATGCCTGTCCTTTTACTGCAGTTACTGGTCAAGAACGAGAATGGAGATACAATCTCCAAAGTTCTACCAGTGTTCTCCAAACAGGTAAAATTTCAGCAAATTAAAATACTATAGTTTTTTCAGCCAGGTAGAATTTTACTCATGTGCTTCAGCAATTGAATTTTACTCATATGCTTCAGCAAATTAAATTACTACAGGTGATGTTCAGCCAGGTAAAATTTTCCCGACTGCATTAATTTCATTTCCGGAATTATTTGTAGTTATTAAATTTTCATTTCCGACATATTTTAGTTTTCATTTCCGACTTTTTTTTTTTTGTTTTCATTTCCGACATTTTTCAGATAGCTTCTTTAGTAACTGATTTGAAGACTTCACCTATGAAAACTTTAAGGAATGATTCATAGATAAATCATTGAAATCCAATTTCTGAGTTTTGAAAATTTATTAACGAAGCGACTGTGAAAATGGAAAATGCAGGCAACTACATTAAAATTCGAGCAATTGACTCAATGTTTACTCTGTGCAGATGTGAAGTAGAAAAATTAAAGTTTTGTGTAGAGCAGTATAATATACATGTATGCGTTATCAACCAGAGTGAAAATTCGATTAGAGTACATCAAGTGTCTTGGACATAAGTTTGGTGCTGTCACTGACATTTAATTTGATGCACATTTAAATGTGATGAAAAAGTTGTATGCTCATTGAACTCTTTTACCTAGATTTAGTGCTATATGTAAGCATATCATAGATGGATTATGTTTAATTTGTTAATTAATATTTTGCAATAATTACTTTTAAAATTCCATTTTCACTTACTTGGAAAACATTAAATTGCGGCACAGGTAAATTCCGGAAATTAAAACAAAATCATGTCAGAAATGAAATTTTAAAAAATGTCGGAAATTCTATGCAGATTTCCAGAAATAAAATGCAGCCAATTTACCTTTGTCCTTCAGCAAAGTAAATTACTACAAGTGTTCTCTAACCAGGTAAATAGTACATGTGTTCTCACGTTAGGTATGTATTACATGTATTCTTTAATGATAAATGACTTTTGGTATTTGTTTTTATGTAAACATCGTTTAAGGTAAATAAAAATATGGCAAGGTTGTGTATACACAGATTGATACAGCAATATGGCAAGGTTGTGTATACACAGATTAATACAGCAATATGGCAAGGTTGTGTACACACAGATTTATACAGCAATATGGCAAGGTTGTGTACACACAGATTTATACAGCAATATGGCAAGGTTGTGTACACACAGATTTATACAGCAATATGGCAAGGTTGTGTACACACAGATTTATACAGCAATATGGCAAGGTTTTTGTACACACAGATACATATAGCAATATGGCAAGGTTGTGTATACACAGATTTGTACAGCAATATGGCAATGTTGTTTATACACAGATTTATACAGCAATATGGCAAGGTTGTGTACACACAGATTTATACAGCAATATGGCAAGGTTGTGTATACACAGATTTATGCAGCAGTATGGCAAGCTTGTGTACACACAGATACATACAGCAATATGGCAAGGTTGTGTATACACAGATTTATACAGCAATATGGCAAGGTTGTGTACACACAGATTTATACAGCAATCTGAATTTATTGAAATACTGAAGAAAAGTTGTATCAGGTATTCAATATTTGTAGGCAAATATGATGGATGCTTTGATTGATTCATGTGTAAAGAGGAAACTCCGTTTAGAAAAGATGGTTAAGAAGGCTGCTGAAAAAAGTGCCAAGGATGGAGCCAGGAAGGACGTAGTAGAAAGTGCCCAGGATGGAGCCAGGAAGGATGGAGAAGAGAGTGCCCTGGATGGACCCAGGAAATACAGGAACGGTAATGTAGCTGGTGTTGCTGATTATATTGAGGGGGAGGGGGAATGGATGTTTTAATGGGGAAGATATCATATAAAAGCCTAGTATTGCTTTTGCCCAATGTAAAAATCATCTAAAACGGGACAGTTGAGGAGTCTTTAATGAAACCTTGTAACATATTTTAGTTTACTGAAGGAATTTTGGATAACTCTTTGTGTACTGTAATCACACAATCAATTATATCTTAATTCCTACGCTTTATGGCCTATAACCATCATCTTGAAATATAGTTATAGAAAATTTACATAACTTTGCATTCTGTTTTCAGAAAATTTTTGTTGCAAGATATCAAACAAGCTGGATAAAATGAACTTAGTAAAAGTTCCATAGGGAGGTAAGGAAAACTACACTTACATGTGTGATATGCATTTGTTTGTAATTAGATGACTTAAAATTTATATTAGCATTCATTGAATTGATATTCATGAAGGAGAGGAAGTTTGCTGGAAAGGAGATCTGTAATGAGGCATTATTAAGATAAATATTGACTAAACCTAAAACATTTCTGATACCTGCATGCTTAGTTTCATCTTTGCTTACCGAGGATTTCTGGTCTGCTACTTGTACTACTGTTATCTTCATAAACCCTTATTGTAAGGAAAGAAGCAGATCAAAATAACCTTGCATAAAATGGACTGTGTTGAGAAAATAAAATGAAGAAAAAAATTGATAATGAAGATTGGTTACTACTTGCATGGTTAAGGTAGTTTCTAAAACAGTTGATTATTACTTAAGCTAAAAATCCTCTACTCCACAGAAATAAAGTGATAATAAAATATTTAAACAAAATTGTTTATATTGTATTTTGAGTCTAGACTGACCAACCTAGAACAGTGCATATTGCTGATTGAGTTGTTGTTAAACCTTGCAAGAGTAAGCATTATAAACAACATCTGAAGAACTACAATAATTTCTTTTCAGGGAAGATTATTAAGCCCTCATGAGAGATTTAGGAAAACATCGGTGGACCGCGATAATTAAAATTTGTGCATAATACACAGTAGACATTTCATTTTGTTAGTGGACTGTCACTAAAGGAGAAAAGACCCTGAGTTATAAACTTTTGTAGCCTCTCTCTCTACCAGTATATTCAAACCATTACCTAGGAAGTGAATTCATCAAGACTCCAAATGACAGTTTTGTAAATTAGAAGAAATTAGAAGAAATGTTATGAGTGACTTAAATAATAACATAACTGATTATGATGTGTTGAAAAATCTAAACCTCTTTCGGTCAGCATAAGTTAACTTTTGTTACAATATAAGTGTATACAGATGTTTTTTGTTTGTTTTTCTGATCCATTCATATTTTGTACCTACATGTATTAGTTAGCAGAGCTATGCACGCCATCAGTTGTGTGAAGATTACTTATATATACTGGTATATATGTACATTTTAAGTTGTCTTTGTGTCTTAGACCTCTTAGTCTTAATTTTTTTTTACTTTATCCATGTGTTAAATTGAATTAATAATTAAAAACTAATGAAGTTCAAAATAGTTTTTTTATAACTAACATGACTAATTTGCAATAATTAACGTATTCATGTATATTGCAAGGTATGTTTTAAAGACTTTTTTTTGTTTTTATGGACTCGCGAATATTTAGACCACATAGTCTATCTTTTTGTCATTTACAGTTGGGTATATTTTTATGTATGTATTTTTATATTTTTTACATTATGTTTTGTAAATTTTGCAAAGATTGAATGTAAGAAAATTCTTCGCAAGTCCTACATATTTTTGGTAGTTTTCTACGTATGATTTATATATTTATCGTTATTTTCCCTTTTAAACTGTGATATTGTATGTATATATGCATACATAACTAGATCTCCATGTCAACTGTAGTATATTTTTTTCTTTTAAAAAATTATTTTAAAAATTGAAATAAATTAGAAATTCTTGGTAGTTTTTCTTTTTTGTGACCTCTTGAATCTAAAGGTTTACATTTTTAAATTTCTATTTGACAAGTTTTAAACTATAGGGTATGTATTTTTGACACAATTGCAATTATTAACAAATAGAATTAAGGTCTAATATTTCCATTAGCAAATATCTTTCTTAGATGAACCTATTGAAGAGAAAATGTGTTCGATTCTGTTTGAATTTTATTTGGGGGTCAGAGGACAAAGCGCGACCGAATCACAGTGCAAGGTGATATTTTGTCTACACATTTCTGTCATGGTGCAACTTGTTTTGGGATATTTCCATATTAATAACGATGAAAAAGATAAAATGATAAACTATATGGATATTTTTCAATCACGGGATGTACAATTATTAAATCTTCTTTTGATGTGAATACTATAATTAGCCCAAACCCTACTTAAACCCCAAATTCCTTTGGAGTTATGTAAACTATGCCTAAAACAGGTGATAACACAGCTTTTGGGTTGTAATATTTATTGAAATTATGAAATAGAATATTCTCAGCAGCGATCATTGTTCTTTCACTATATACATATATTTCCTGAGCTGGACTGCTAAACATGAAAGTAAACATTCAAATGTTGGAGCGAGGTGAACTCTCAAGACCAAACAACTTCTAGGCACTTTCTTTTACATTCTTCCTGGCTCCATCTAGGGCACCTTCTTCTCCAGCCTTCATGGTTCCGTCCTTACTTACTTATACTTAGGCCTTTTCATGCCAGGTGACACTTAGGCAGCCACACAGTCCCTCCATCCAGTCCTATCCTTCGCTTTTCTTTCTACTTCCTTCCACGTCAGTCCTATCTCTTTCAGCTCTTTCTCTGATGTTTTTTGGCCATGTTGTTTTTGGCCTACCCCTTTTTCTTCTGCCGTCGGCTGTCCAAAATATGCTCTCTCTTGTGATGTTATGTTGATCTCTTCTGAGCACATGTACAACCCATCTCCACTTTCCTCTTACAATCGCCACCACAATGTCTTCCTGTCCTGACATCTCTCTGAGTTCGTTGTTGGAACTATTTTTGGCCATCTGATCTTAAATATGGTCCGTAGGCAACGATCTACAAACACTCTCAGTTTCCTTGCGAGGTCTTTCCGGAACTTTCAGCATTCTGATCCGTATAATAGCATTGATTTCACATTACTGTTGTAGATCCTAAGCTTTATCCTAATGGCCATTAGGAGGATGTCCAAACTGGTTTTAAGATGGCAAACACAGGACGGGCTTTGTTGATTCTTGTTGTAATGTCCTCGTCAGTACCTCCAGATGTTGTTACAATGCTGCCTAAGCATGTGAAGGTGTCTACATCTTCCAAACTCTCTCTATTAACTTGTACTGGGTTGTTATTCCGTGCATTGGTTCTCATTATTTTGGTCTTGTTAAAATTGACGTTTAAGCCTAGACATCTAGATGTTGTATAGACTTTGTTTGTTTTCTCCTGATTTGCTGATAGGTGGATGAGATGAGACATAGGTCGTCGGCATAATCCAGGTTATCCAGTTTGTTTTCCATTCTCCATCTAAAGCCATTTTTTTCTCATCTCTGGTGGATTCTCTCAGTCTATGGCCACTAAGAAGAGAGAGGCGATAGCATACAGCCCTGTTTCAGTCCCGGTGTTACTGGAAACCACTCTGTTTTGGCATTGTTAACCATCACACTACACTGAAATCCTTCATGCAGTACCCTGATGATGTCAATGATCTTCAATGGTAGGCCGTACAATCTTCTCAAGAGCTTCCATAAACTTTCCCGATGTACACTATCAAAGGCCTTTTCAAAGCCTACAAAGTTAAGATATAGAGAAGACTGCCATTCTATTGACTGCGAATGATATTTCGTAAAACAAAAATTTGGTCGCAGCATGATCTTCCTGGTCTAAACCCTGCTTGTTCCTCTCTCAGTTGTGCATCGACTTGTTGTTTTACTCTGTCTAAAAGCACTCTGGTAAACACTTTACTTATTGTGGGTAAAAGTGTTATTCCACGCCAATTGCTGCATTCTGATTTATCTCCCTTTTTTGGTAGTTTTATAATTAGTCCGTTTTTCCACTCCGTTGGTACCATGTTGGTTGTCCAAATGTCTTGGAACAGATTATATATGACCTTTGATATTGCTTCAATGTCCACTTTATGTAGTTCTGCTGGTATGTCATCTGCTCCTGCAGACTTGTTGTCTTTCATCTTTCTGCTGATCCTCTGTATTTCCTCTATACATGTACGTATTTCCTCCATACTAATGTCAAGTTCTGCTATGTTGTTATTGATGATTTCGATATCTGTTGATTGAGTTGGGTTTCCTGACTTTCCTCTATTCAGAACTGATCTCAAATGCTCAGTCCATCTTTTCGTATTGTCACTGTCCTTGGAAAGGATGTTGCCATAGTGGTCTTTTACAACGTTTGAATTGTTGGTGAATTTGCCGGACATTAGTTTGGTGATCTTAATCAGTTCTTGAATATTTCCAGTCCTTGCTGGTTCCTCAGCTCTACTCAAATTGTCTTCTATATGCTTCCGTTTGTCTCGCCTCGCACTCCTTTTGACCTATCTTTTTCCCTGTAGGACTTTGATAATGATGCCTGCTCCGAGTTGTCTTTGCAGTCTAGGATCTTTGATTTGATCTTCTTTCTCTCTGATATAAGAGTTCATGTATGGAGAGGGCTTATATATGCTATGCCTGCTGCCCAATCCATTTATGTAATTGTTACATAATAAAATAAGTTCAAATCAGAAATCAGAAAAATCAGTCCATGTATCGGATGTTAAGGTACATAAACTCTCTACTCACTCATATGAAAATTTTCTTTAACTTTTATGATTTTCCAGAGGAAATGTATATGCTGAATAAAAAACAATCAATTATAGCATGGCTTGCGGGGCAAATTTTGACAAAAAAGACACTTCAACTTGGCAAATTTATGTAGGAATAAAAGACATTTGTGTCATTAAGAGTTATCTCTCTTATCAGAGTATCAATGTACCTTAACCACTCCTCTTTCACATTTTTCCTATATCCCAGAGTCTCAGTTGCTGCTGAGGCTAGACAATCCCTGATGTTATCCCACTTTTCGTCTATGTTGTTTCCATCGTCCATCATCTCTAATGCAGAAAATCTAAACCTCAGCTCCATGCAGCTTAAAGTCTTCCTTTATCTCAGGTTGTTTAAGTTTGTTCACTGCAAACTTCCTTCGTCCTTGCACTTTCCTCACTGCTCTTCACTTAAGCTGTATTTTGGCACGTAAGAGTATGTGATCACTGTTAATATTTGCACCTCTGTACGTCCAGGCATCTATGACTGATCTCCTCCACCTCTTGTTGATCATGATGTAATCAATCTGATTCTTTGTTCTCTTATCTGTAGAAATCCAGGTATACTTGTGAATGTCTTTGTGTGCAAAGATGGTGTTGCAAACCGCTAACCCATTCATCTCACAAAAATCCATTAGGCGTTCTCCGTTTTCATTCAACTGTCCCATGCCAAGTACTCCCATGCATGCCTCCCTGCCGGTGTTATCACTTCCACCTTTTGCGTTCATGACTCCCATTACTATCAACATATCGTGTTTTGGAGTTCTATGTAATACTAAGTACACTCTGCAGTTGGTTGTAAAAGATATCTTTCTCTTCATCATTTGCATCATTAATAATTGGTGAGTAACACTGAATCACACTGAGCTTGTTGTGTTTCGAATCGAACCTAGCATATAATACTAAAGTATTCGGTCATTCACTAGGTACCACTCTATCAATGTTTTTGATGTTTCCTTGCTCATCATTATTGCAACGCCACTCTGGTGATCTTGATCCTTCCCTGAGTATATGATGGTCTCACCACTACTACAAGTCATTTTTCAAGAGACTTTCCACCGTGCTTCACTTATACCCAGAATACTGATATAATATTGCCTCATCTCTTAAGCAATCTGTGCTGCTACGCTAATTTCAAACATAGTCCGCACATTCCATGCTGCTATATTGATGTTCTTGTTTGGTCTCAGAAGGTAGCTTCTCAGTCTAGTAGTTCTCTGCTGATTTTCCTGACTGGACGTCATGATCTCGTTTCCGATGTTACCCACTGAAGAACCAGGAGATACGTTTCTCTGTGTGTCTGTTTCTGTAGTCATTGTATACCACAGACGGGGTGACTGGTCCCCAAGCTGCAGGCTTAGCCCCATTAGCCGGCATTATCCGTTTCCACCTCCTACGACGGGGGCGTGGGGATTAGACTTCAGGAAACATTCAAATGTTGGAGCGAGGTGAACTCTCAAGACCAAACAACTTCTAGGCACTTTCTTCTACATTCTTCCTGGCTCCATCCAGGGCACTTTTTTCTCCAGTCGTCTTGAGCACTTTTTATTCTTTCAACTAAATTCTGTGTTTTACGCCTCAGAATTTTCTCACTTGTGCTTTCTGCATATTTTCTCTTTCATGACTATTGTCTTTTTCCTAACATATCTGACTCTGACTGTTGTCAAACTACATGTACATTACACAAAAGACCTATTTAGGATCAATCTAAAGAGAAAAAAAATTAATAGGCGTTATAACGCCTTTTGAAAAGGCGTAATAATGCGAAAAAATGCGTTATAATGCCTTCTGAAAAAGCGTTATTACGCCTTTCTATTCCTAAAGGCGTTTTTACGCCTTTTTGAAAAGGCGTTGTAATGCTTTTCTAAAAGGCGTTATTACGCCCTTTATATAAAGGCGTTATAACGCCTTTCTAAAAGGCGTTATTACGCCTTTTTCTCGAAAAATGGTTTTTAAAAACAGATAGTAATTAGATTTCCGGGGAAAAAAGATTTTTAAACGCGTAATATATATTTTCAATGTAGAACCAACTACTATAGTAAGTCCTCCTCTTATGTCAGACACAACTCTACCAAGGGTCTTTCAAGATCTAGAGGAGAGAAAATATTTTCAAATGAGATAAATTTTAAAAAGTATATGGCAAACAAAGCCGCAAGCTGCAGTTGCCTATATCATAGCTATATTTTCACAAGTAATAGAGTGTTGTCTTCCCTTAATACGAATGCAAACAGTTGTCCGTGAGATGTGTAGAAATATAGAGAATTGCATAAATAAAAAAGGTTTTGATTCAATCTTTCATATTTTTATTAACATAAAATAACGCCTTTTCCAATTAAATCATAGGCGTCGGAACCGGGAGGGCTTGTAGGGCCAAATAAAAAAGGTTTTGATTTTTTCAATCTTTCATATTTTTATTAACATAAAATAACGCCTTTTCCAATTAAAAAATTAATGGACAGATGGCAGAAGGACTTGTAACAAATGGAATACAAGTATAATATATGCATTCTAACCATGCTATTGCAAATAAAGGAGATGGAATTATTTGGAGTTTGATACATAATACGTATATTAACTGTTTATTTGAATATCTTTTTTAAATTAATCTTTATAAGACTTTTGTGAATTTACTAATCTTATGACTAAACGCCAAAACTGAAAGGACATATTCGTAAATTGGCTTTGTTTTCTATTTTATTACAATACATATAAATATGCAGAGGAATACATTTAGGTGCAACATTTCAAGAAATTATATAGTACGAGTTAATTTAAGTAAAGTACAAAAAGGTCAAATGGATTTTTCTCGAAGGAAAATGATTTGAAATGGCACGAATAGTTTAGAATCATTTTATTTAAGGTTTTCAAAGACCTTTGGTATAATTTGACGCAGTTAGATATTCTTTAAACTTATTTCCCGTTTTAAAAAATGACGTCATTTTCCATTTTGTGAATATTACAAAACGCTTGAAAAATCTGGATGAACACTCCGTGCTCGAAAACGTTTTAGCGACTGGGATTTATTCCCGTGGCTCTGAGCATGCTCATTTATGGCAGAAGCCATATTGACCTTTGGTTGTCAGTGGTCCCCACGAGAAAAATCGACTGAATTGTACTAGTTAAGACACATTTATGTTATTTTTCACAATTTTCGAATAGTCGGTAAATTGGTTAGATAGGCGATTTCGTACGAAACGTCTACACATGCAGCACTGCCTGAATTCAAGCTTGTAAAATGCGCGACACCGTTTGCTTAATTTCATGGCGTTCGTTTTCAAGTCAAGTGGCAGTTGACGCGGAGAACTAGTTATGTTAACATTATTTACAAAGATTTCTACAGAAAGGATTCCATAAACAAGATCTCTGATTGACAAAGTGTAAATTAGGTAAATTATCTTTAACACTTATTCGCTAAAATTAAAACATGAATTCTTGTCATGTTCCAGAATTTGAAGTGTTTCAAAATACATGCTTGTTGTTGTTTGTTTATCTCTAACCTCTCACAATATAGTTTATAAGACTTTCGAGCGAGAGGGAACAACATATTTTTTATTTGAATCATTAGATATATGATATATAAAAATGGCCAATGGGTGTTTTCCTACAGATTCCAGTATATCAGAATTCTGAAAATATGTTTTTGACATTATTGTACAGGTCTAAGAAAATTTTACAAAGTTATTAATTAGTCATTCACACCTGGATTTGGAATTAAATGTAGCAATATTTAATTGTCTTATCTAGTGAAAAATAATGGGGTTTGTAGATTGACCCCAAATGGCTCAACACCATTAAAATATGCCCCGTAAAGCTGTAATGCTCTAGCAAGGTGGAGAGAAATATGATGGTAATGTTATGATAGTCACCATTTAACAAGTATTAAAGTTGAAGGCATTCTTGATGGTCCGTAAGACCAGGGGGTGAGGAATTTCCCTTCCTACAATGATGTAATAGGCCGGTTATCCTGGGATTTACTTTTATTTTTATGGTGCTGAAATCCATGTACAATTTGTTGACCAACCATCTATTCGCGAATTAATTTTCCTCGCGATCTCTTTCTATCCCTCTCTCTCCAAAGATTCAATATAAGTGTTAAGCATATTACAGCAATGTGAATATAAAATTATTTTAAAAATATGATGACACGCAAAATTAAAACGACATTAAATATGCTAAATTCTGGAAACGGCAACCAAACATATTCAAAGACACGACTTAGATCGAGGTTAGCTGCAGGTGGAAGAATACAATGTAACTGTTTTCACGAGTACACTCGCAGATGGACTTCACATGATGAATTGTAATAATTAGCAGGTCAATATCGAAATAAAATCTAGGTTAACACTGTCATAACAATGGAAGACAGAAGTTTGTTTCGAACGTGTTCTTTGATAAATTAAGTATGAGCACACATTTGTCGGCTCTTCTCCTTATGACGTTATTTTGTTTAATATTTTACAATTAATTACCCCTTTTAAGGTCAACATTGTGAAATAAGGACCCGAGACCTGGCCCACGAGGTGACCTGACCTGACCGAGGCCGCGTAGCAGCCGAGGTCAGGGCAGGTCATCAAGTGGGCCAGGTCGAGGGTCTTTATTTCACCATGTTGAACTCAAAAGGGGTAATCAGTTGTTTTATTATACCGATATATATTGAAAAGTATGAATCTCTAACCGTTATCAATTCTTTCTTTGATCGGGATCGGGATTCGCTACACTCCGTGTAGTGAAGTCGTTTACCTGATGACGTCTGCAAGTCGTGCAAGTTTTTGCATCATGATTTACTGATTAAAATTATATTTGGTTGATAGCGACATACATTGTTATAACTAACGATTACTCTTTCTCTACCCAGTCGAAATCTAACACAGAATTCAACTCTTTACAGAGCCGCTTCTACATTCCAGAACTGAATTGAAACGATATTTTGTAATGAGTAAACCGTTTAAGTTAACGATAAAATTTTGCCGTATTCTGTATGGTAATGCAAAACAGACCATGCACAATTTTAAAAACATGTTGTTTTCTCGAATAATTATTATTTTATGCATTTAATTCACTCGAGCTCGAAAAGGAATTTTTGATTAAGAGATCATAATTTAGCAGTCATTATTTATAATGACCGGGTCATTATATCCCACGTGCAATGATTCCTAGGTCCTTATTGCTGTAAACAGTACCATTTGGAGTCATTGTTGTGTTTTAAAGTTTTCTTACCAGCAAATCAAATTCGAGTATTATCATTAGAGGTATAATAAACAACTATAGTTTTCTTAAGAACAGCTGACAAACGTGCTGACTATTTAAGCAGGCGACGAAAAACCTGTGACCCTAAGTGATTTTCTATAGATAGTCAAGAAATGCCTTCAATATTTATTAGCTCACCTGAGCCAAAGGCTCAAGTGAGCTTTTCTGATCAAAATTTGTCCGTTGTCTGTTGTCGTTGTCGTCGTCGTTGTAAACTTTTCACATTTTCATCTTCTTCTCAAGAACCACTGGGCCAATTTCAACCAAACTAGCTACGAAGTGTGCTTGGGTGCAGGGGAATCAAGTGGGTTCAATTGAAGGGCCACGCCCTTGTCCAAGGGGAGATAATTATGAATTAGAGAAAAATTAATGGCATTTTTAATAATCTTCTTCTCAAGAACCACTTGGCCAGGAAAAATGAAACTCATGTGGAATCATCCTCAGGTAGTGTAGATTCAAGTTTGTTCAAATCATGACCCCAGGGGGTAGGGCGGGGCCAAAATGGCCGATCAAAGTTTTACATAGGAATATATAGGAAAAATCTTTAAAAATCTTCTTCTCAAGAACCACTGGGCCAGGAAAGATGAAACTCATGTGGAATCATCCTCAGGTAGTATAGATTCAAGTTTGTTCAAATCATGACCCCAGGGGATAGGGCGGGGCCAAAATGGCCGATCAAAGTTTTACATAGGAATATATAGGAAAAATCTTTAAAAATCTTCTTCTCAAGAACCACTGGACCAGGAAAGATGAAACTCATGTGGAATCATCCTCAGGTAGTGTAGATTCAAGTTTATTCAAAACATGACCCCGAGTGTAGGGCGGGGCCAAAATGGCCGATCAAATTTGTACATAGGATATATAGGAAAATTCTTTAAAAATCTTCTTCTCAAGAACCACTGGGCCAGGAAAGATGAAACTCATGTGGAATCATCCTCAGGTAGTTTAGATTCAAGTTTGTTCAAATCATGACCCCCGGGGGGGGGGGGGGGCAAAATGGCCGATCAAAGTTTTACATAGGAATATATAGGGAGACCTTTTAAAATATCTTTTCAAGTACTTCAAATTCATGCTTAGTTATATTTATATGGAATCGTCCTCAGGTAGTGTAGATTCAAGTTTGTTCAAAATAAACCAATGTACCCCCTGCTCAGGTGAGTTAAAATTCAACCCCCCCCCCCCCCAACTCAGTAAACTTTCAGTTCTGATCTGATTTGTGCTTTCTCCTAGCAGATTGCTCAGGTGAGCGATGTGGCCCCTGGGCCTCTTGTTTAGTTTACCTCGAAAAGAGCATTTTGAATTCACTGTATCATGAATACATGGTTAAGATATCCTGGGGTTATATGGTGAAAAAAAATAAACATTTTATGAACCTAATATTTACGACATATTTTTTTTTGGCCAGTTAAGTCCACCCATTCTTTAAGATTGAAAGACCTAACGTTTCAGCAAGATAAGTTGTGATAGTCTCTTTTTCTTGTTTCCCAGCTTCCCAGTGAAATCTATGGCACGCCAAATTCACAAAAATGAGATAAACATAGTTTCACAGTCGATAAACTAGGTTCATCGGTTGTAAACTATAGTTTACGGACTGTAAACTATAGTTAACAACGTTAATCTATATTTTACATCCGTAAACCATAGTTAACGCGATAATCTATGTTTCACAACCGTAAACTATACTTAACACTGAAAACAATCATTTGCGATTGCAAAACATAGATTATCTGATAAATACAGTTTCACGATTTGTAAACTATAGTTTACAAACTGTTAACTATAGTTAACGATCTGATAAATATAGTTTCACGATTTGTGAAACTATGATTAACAACTCTTAACTATAGTTTACGATAGTAAACTATAGTTTACAAACGTGAATCTATGTTTATCAACAAAATCTATTGTTAACGCTTATTACAGACAGATAAACTTAGATTATCATTCGTAAACTATAGTTAACAACCGTTAAATATAGTTTTACAGATGAAAACTATACTTAACGAATCGTTAACTATAGTTTACGGTTTGTAAACTATAGTTTACAGTCGATAAACCTAGTTTATCAATTGTGAAACTAGGTTTATCTCATTTTTGTGAATTTGGCGTGCCATAGAAATCCCATATAAAATTTTGATATAAACAAAAAATATATGCAAAATAAAAGGAACACTTAAAGACTTAATTTTAGCTTAACGAATTTTGATTTAAGCTGTTTACTTATTCAGGACCTTTTATAAATCAGTTCCTTGTACAATGAAAAGGAAAGATTTCTTCATTTTCTGCCTGTTGATATGCAAAAAGAATTAAAAAAAAAATTTTTCAAATGCATCCTTTTACAAAAATATTACCTGTCAAACTCTTGATTAAAAGATTATTTGATAAAATGATGCAGTTTACTGTCTAAATGTGTGTAAATTAGGGGGGAAAGATGGTTTATTTGTAGTAAGTGTGTTAAAGTGAAAATCGTGAATGTGTCCTTGGATGATACATATTTATTGGAAAATGAATATTTGTCTTATTGAGCTCCCCTGTCTTGCATTTGCCCCTTGTGACCTTTTCTCAATTATAACACATCCTTACCTAGTCTTATAATGTAAAAACACATATTTTTTAGGGATCAAATTTTCATGGTTTGGGGATATTTGTTGGTTCTTGGGATTTGATTTCAAGGTTGATGAACTGTTCAGTAGTAATATAATGAAAAAAAAATCATGTTGTGGAAGACATAAATTGGTGGATCTGTTCATACCTTGAAAACCACAAAAATTAAACCCCATGAAAATTATTGATTTTAACAGTAGTTTAAGTCATAAAACATCAGATGATATTTAAAAATTTATTACCTTATTAAACTTACTTCTTAATAGAGGTGTCAGAAAATTCTGTTCCCTGCTAGAACTCAATAAATACAACACTGTCACAGATGGCTAGTTTAATCTCAGAACTTGGACATTTCCAGGAAAAAAAAACTTCTGCAAGTTTTGATGAATTCTATTAGGATAAGTAAACCGAAGACTGATAAATTAGACAATGTTTAATAAAATCATAAGTACTATTTAGAGTGCTGAACCACTCTTTGATTAGTTGTGGGAGGTGTTGAGAGGCACTTGATTAAAAGTTGTTTTGAAATTTTAAAAAAAATCCTGTGCCTGTTTTAATGAGGTAAAAGCATCCCTCCCACATTTTACAAAACTGGCCTGAGGACCAAGTTATGAATAATTTTTTAGGCCTAAACACAATGAAAAAAAAAAAAACAGAATAAGCATCCCCTTTTTCTAAGAAGTCAGGACACTAATTTGGATAAATGCATTGCTGAATTAATATAAATATGCCTCTTGGGGCCAGGGATTAATATTTTGCCTCGCAGTGTACTTAGTTGTAATTTTTTTTTTACCAATGTGGAAGCATGATGTAAGTCAATTTTAGATAAAATAATCAGCAAATCTATGACATTATAGAGCAATGAAAACTCGGATTTATATTTTATAATAATCAGTTTAATTTACAGTAATCATGCATTAACATTGATGACACTGCATTTTCCAGGTAGAATGGGTGCATTTTTGGACAAGCCAAAGACAGACAAACACAATGAGGGGGGAGTGGGAAACACCCTGCGTTACGGCCTCAGCAGCATGCAGGGCTGGAGAGTGGAGATGGAAGACGCCCACACAGCCATACTGGGGCTTCCCTATGGACTCAAACAGTGGTCCTTCTTTGCCGTCTTCGATGGTCATGCAGGTGCTAAAGTTTCGGCAACATGTGCAGAGCAGTTACTACAAGAAATAGTCTCAAACGATGATTTTAAAGGAAAGCTGGAGTTGAAAGAAGGCACAGAAATTCAACCATCTCTGGAAGACGTCAACAAAGGAATAAAAACTGGCTTCCTGCAGCTGGATGAGAAGATCCGCGGAATGCCGGAGATGGTGAGCGGAGAGGATAAAAGTGGATCTACTGCTGTATGTGCCATAGTGTCACCTCACCATATATTTTTTGCCAATTGCGGAGATTCACGAGCAGTGCTCTCTCGTGATGGCAAATGTCATTTCACAACCTGTGATCATAAACCAATCAACCCAGCAGAAAAGGAGCGCATACAGAAAGCGGGAGGCAGCGTTATGATTCAAAGAGTCAACGGTTCCCTGGCGGTATCTAGAGCTTTAGGAGACTTTGAATACAAAAATGTGCAGGGGATGGGTCCCTGTGAACAGTTGGTGTCCCCGGAGCCTGAGATTTCCACGGAATCCCGGAGCGACAAGGATGAATTTCTGGTGCTGGCTTGTGATGGGATCTGGGATGTGATGAGTAATGATGAACTCTGTGATTTTATTAGGAGCAGAATGAGGGTCACAGACAGCTTGGAGCAGATCTGTAACATGGTGGTAGATACATGTCTTCATAAGGTAATTTATTAATTATTAAATAAATTAATAACGTACTTGTTTATTTGTAAAACACTGGTCATGTTATGGTTTGCTTAGAATCTTTAAAAGTATACTGCTTAGTTTATTTTAAAAAATATGGAGATTACATTAATAAGTTTTCTAGCCAAAGGTCCAGCCATTCGTAAAACAATATATATTGGGAGCAGAGCAATCACAGACCTCCAGAGGTGGGATAAGGTGCCATGGAGGAGTGAGCATCCCAAGTATCTAACTGAATACAGCTTGAACACTGTTGAATGAAAAACTAGAATACATCTGGTTTCTCCTAACTTTATTAAGTTAATAAATGCAATATGATTATATATTTTTAAAAAAATCAGTAAAATTTTGTTTATAATAGCAATGCTAGTATTTCTTGGGTTGCTCAAGAAATTTGTCACTGAAAGAACTAATAGTACCTAATTTGATTTTTTTTCATATTTCACATGATAAACAAAAAGAAGTAATTTGAAATAGTCATTCAGACTTATTTTAATAACAAGGAAATGAATAGATTACAATCGAGCCGTGTGAAGGCCAGATAGTGTGTGACTCATTGTAGTTAGGTTTAGTAGGATATAGAGTGTTCTAGAAGCTTTCTATAGAAAACGGAAGAAGCTCAGTTGACAAAAATTGTATTAATTGCTCCAATTTCCAACCTTTCTGAAGATAGCTATTTTACGAAAACAAAAGTTGTTAATGGCCAATGTCTAATTTTAATTAAGATTGGATATCGGACAAGTTCCTATAATTTTAGGTATTCAAAAACAAAATCAGTTCTAAAATTGGAACATATTGGACCTATTTCTATAGCTGTCAAGACCTTATAGTGGAAAATGTTTTTGGGTGGGGAAGGAGGGGGGGGGGGTTGGTATGACAGGCAGTTCAAGTTCAATATTTTAAAAAAGCAAACAACTGCTCACTAACTGGCAAATAAAAACACGTCCTCTATTTAGTTGAATTTTTAACACCAAGGTTGCAGAAATATATATTGTTTATCAACTTCTGAAAAAGTGTTGAAAGACTTACTTCCCATGACAAGTAGACATCTACTTAACATGCTTAAAAAAAGAGCATATCACATTGACATCTATTATGCTTTGTTTATTCTTCCTTGACAGGGAAACTGAGATAATATGAGTATTGTAATCGTAACTTTCTCTGTTGACAGGGAAACTGAGATAATATGAGTATTGTAATCGTAGCTTTCCGTACAGGGTAGCCGAGATAATATGAGTATTGTAATCGTAGCTTTCCCTACAGGGTAGCCGAGACAATATGAGTATTGTAATCGTAACTTTCTCTGTTGACAGGGTAGTCGAGATAATATCAGAATTGTAATCTTGGCTTTCTCTGTTGACAGGGTAGCCGAGATAATATGAGTATTGTAATCGTAGCTTTCTCTAATTGACAGGGTAGCCGAGGTAATATGAGAGTTGTAATCGTAGCTTTCTCAATTCTCTATTCACAGGGTAGCCGAGATAATATGAGTATTGTAATCGTAGCTTTCGAGGGATCTCCCCGACCAACAGAGGAAGCTGTTAAACAAGATCAGGAGCTAGATGCAAAAATAGAAGCAAAAATTAAAGGTAAATTAAGTCCCTGTACATTGGCAACAGTGTATAAAACAATATTATGTTTTCTGTTGCTTCATTAAATGATTAAGTGAATTATAAATGATATCATTTATCAATAAATGAAATATAATTTATTAGCATTCTTAAAGATGAAGGAGCCGGAGAATCTAATGTTTGACATAATTTTTGGTTTCTATTTTTAGAAATTATAGCCCAGCCTGATATGGCGGAGGCCGATTTACCTTATATAATGCACATGCTTAACGAGGTTATGGACGGCTTTCCTCCTGGCGGAGGCATCACTTCAAAGTAAGACTCCTCATATCATAATTTATGTACAATCTCCAGTTAGTTCACAACTGTACCATCTTCATCATTGAATTTCTAATATAACATAATGCATATCAAAATGACAGGGTATTTTTTAAAACAAAATTTTAAAATGTAGAATGAAATATTGTTAAAAATATTAAAAAATTTTGTTGATTCTCTATGATATGTATTACAATTCTTAGGTAAGCTTGGACTTTCAGTTAGACGTGGCATTGTCAATGTTACATAATTAGCATCTGAAATTTACATAGCATTCATTCATTGTTGAAATATACATGGGATAGAAATTTGGGTAAATGTGGACAAGTGGTAACCAATAAAATTGTCTCGTCCGGCAAAGAGGTGGAGCTTAAGTCATATCATCTCTGTCAATTTTAAGTTCATGATGTTCTTAATTTCTTAACCAATGAGAATCTATTCGCCATTTGACAGACGCTAATTACGTAGCACCGAGAATTCCATGCCTTACTGAAAATCCAAGCTTATTTGAAAATAGGCCTCATGAGGAAAAAATTTCAACATTGCAACACATTACACGATTACAGTAGAGTTGCTTTTCTTGGAACACCTCTTGTCAAAAGCAAATATGTATTTTCAGGGGCTGACAAATAGATTTTAAAGGCACTTGCCCAAGGGCAAGTACATGGTCAAAATTCACTTGCCCTACCTGAATTTTTGCCTGCCCTACCATTAACTTATACTGTATTTATAAATATATATTAAAAAAAATAGTGAGTAGAATATTGGCATACATATTGATTTTATTTTTGATAATTGATTAAGTCACTTGCCCACTGGCAAGTGGTTGATAAAATTTCACTTGCCCAACCCTAAAATTCACTAGCCCCGGGCGTCGGGCAATGGGATTTGTCATCCCCTGTATTTTATTCACTGATGTAACTAAATACTTGTAATGTATTACTTAAACATTGGTGTCTTTATTCATGTATTATCTCATAATCATACAGTATTGAATAAATTTTCTATAAAAGTGTTAAATTCTTAAACAGGAGAAGCACAATAGAAAGCATATTAAAGAAATTGAGACCTAATTCATCTGAGGATGTAAGTACAGTAGTACTCGTATCTGTAACTTCTTCATGTAGAATAATTTACTGTAGATCACTTAATTTTAAAGACATCTTATTTTCACAAGGTTGACATTTACTCTTTATGAGTGAGAGAAAATTTTCATGAATTGTGGTTACTGTCCTGTATGATCTTTAGAAATACTTGTTAATCCCAGAATGATGTTTTCATGAGCACACTGTCTTGTGTAGTACTTAAGTGAAAATAAAGCTCTTTTGAATAAAATAATTGATTTTTAGTGCATGTACAAGATTAATTCATATTTTAAGACCTTGAACTTCCCAAGTACAATTAAACAGGAAGGGGCAAAAATGTTGGATGAATGTGAAGATATTTTACAAAATGAAGGTAATTCATTTACTTTTGCTTCGTATTTTTAGGAGGACAGAGGATAGACTCCAGTGTTATTTCAACAGGAAGTGGTACCTCCGTCTTAGACCGAGTGATTTCATTCAGACCCACATATTCAACATTTCGTATTTTGCTCAATTACACCTATTTCCGGAGGTCTTGGTTCAACATGCTGTAACGTCAAACTGAAAATTACTGAAGTAGTTCGTTACAGTTCTCTATAATACTGATTATCTTCAGGTCTCTTCAGTGGTGAAATTATAAAAGTGACAATGATATAAAATGTTGGATTTGTTATATAATGTTACAAATGTTTATCATTCAGAATTCTGATGAACACCACTGTACCTTGTTGGTTGCTATCGGTATGTTTCTATTCAGCGGTGAAATTGTAGTCATTAATGTCGAGTGAGAGAGAGAGAGAGAGAGAGAGAGAGAGAGTCTGAATTTCCTCAGACTGGGAATATTTGCACTAGAGTATGTGTTCTATTGAGATGTCTGTTCTTCATATCGCATATGTATATAATATATCTGGCTCCTTCATGCAAATCACAAATGTTAAACACAGCTGTGTTGGACATTGGGTAATATGTTGACATCTTCACAACGATTCAGGACTAATTTTTTTCAAAGCAGAATATTGTCTAATTTTTGCTATGATGCAGTACAAATTACCAAAGTAAAAAGGTTTTGCTATATTATTATTTTTTTTATGTTCAGTCATTCCTTTAATAAACCCCTCGGTTCAGCTTTTTTTAACAAAAATGAGCAGATTTTGTATGTCTGCTTTTGCAAGAAATGTTAATAGTGCTATATTTTAGGATTTTTTTGTTGTCGTTTATGTAAAAATGATATATATATATATAAAATACTATATTGAATGCAAACTGCGATTATTGATAGATAACCTTCCTATCTTGTTGTTGAGTGTAAACAGTGTACTAGTTTTTTACAGTAGCAATATGTGGTGACTTGACAGGAGTTATTCCCCTTGCTATTAGCCGTTTGAACTCGTTAGTTAGTCTGCACACACTGCTTGTTGTTCATACGTGTGGACCTCGTGCGATTGTATGTCTTAGGGTCTGTCACAAAATATCGCAGCATTCTGGTCAGATTTTAGGACAATCCTTGACCTTTTATTACAGTAGTTTGAGCAGTGGTTAATTCAGTTCATCATAATTTATCGTAATTTTCTTCAATATTTCTTTTCTCTTTTTTTGTATAGAATATTTCTTCTGCTCTTAGTAATTTTGACTTTAATGATTGTGCAATTTGTCTAATTTCTTCTACTTTGTAGTGATACTTGAAAAAAAAAATTACTGTTGATTGCTGAAAGATTGTATCTCATATATTTATCCCCTTCTTCAAATTATTATGAATTGCTATTAAATCTGAAATAAATGAGTTATTTTTTTTTTGTTTTGCATAATAGTTTGGTACAGAGTCGGAGATTATTAAGGTTAAGATATAGAGGTGGAAAAAAAGATGCAGAAATGAAGATCCCGGAGTTTAAATCAACATTTTATACTGGTACATTCCGATAAATATAAAATAAATTTTTACAGGAAAAAAAGATTTTCAAATTTATATATATAATATTATATATATATATATATATTATAATATAATGGTGTATTTGCTTGTTGAAGGGAAGAGGTTATGATGCATACATCATGTACATATAGGGCGATGTTTTTATTTTGTTGATGTTTGTGTGAGCGTCATTAAGCGACCTGTATAGATTATATATAAACTTGTGAGCCTAGGAGATACAGTATTAGATTCAGTGTGTGTGTACTACAGTGTAACTGGTAAATCTGCCCTAGTCACACTGTTCTCATTCTCACTAGTGACTTGTCTCAGCTTTAGATAAGAAAAAAAATGATATACCAATAAAACTGAAATATTTCCATTTCTATTTGTTTTCTCTGCAGTAACTCTTTGAAAATTAGTGGCCTTGATTTCTTGATAATTCTACCGGAATGTAAATAAGGCAGATCGATAGATCAGCAGCTAAAGGAGGCCTAATACGCATGTAAATCTTGCACGCGTCTTTGTGTCTTGCGCTAAGGAGGTCTGACGTGCATGTTAACCTTGTGTGGCTTTGTGTTTGATGTCAGTGGGTGAGGACTATTGAAATTGACATGGGAATGATTTAAATCCATTAGTCTACATTTTGAAAATCTTAATGTACAATTTTATTTCAAGATGAATGGAAATGAAAGGAATCGCTGTCTAGTTAGTATAGTATGCCAGGGACATCACATACTATACTAACTAAACAGTGATTCATTAAATATTCCTGTATGACTTGTTTGTTTATCACATGGTATACCATTTAATGTATGTTTGCTGACTGTTGGAAGGGTTACTGTATACAGAGAAATTTTCGCCCCCATTTTGTTTTCGTCTCTTTCGTCCTGAGACTCCTTGTTTGGGCGAATTTAAAACTGGGCGAATTCAAATTACATCTCATAATTTCTTAAACAGAACTATGACTGGGCGAATTCAAATTACATCTCATAACTTCTTAAAGCTGAACACGATTCGTAAAAGGAATCTGTCCGCCATTTTTGTTCCCGAGTCTCGCTACTCTGCAGACCCCTATAAATAGGGCAGAACTTAGTCAATGTTCAGTGTAATCAGTCGACACCGGCGAAGACGGACGTATGTATACAGAACTCGGTAGCATGCTTCGTCTAATGCAGGAAAATAAGATACCAAATAAGTTTACAATTATAGTTGTATAAGTCAGTGCAGTATACAACAACATAGATAAACGTAACTGCAATAGCATATTAACAAAGGTAATGCAAGATAACCAGCACGAACACGGGTTGCCATTCCACGCCGATACCCATGAGAATAAAGCAGTTAGGTGTAACAAATGTGTACGAGTATACCCTAGTATTGATGTATCGTAGATAATGCTATCGAAAATGGCATATGCCTATTTACGAGTCGTGTTCAGCTTTAAACAGAACTATGACTAGGCGAATTTAAAACGGGGCAAAATTGTTCACAAGTCCAAAAGGGCGAAAATAACCCTGTATACAGTAATCACATGGTATACCAGTCTATATTATGGACCAAAGGTTGATGACAAAACATAACTAGAAAAACAGCTCAGAAAGCTAGTCTACAAGGAAGATTATTGATGCAAATAAATTCATATTCATTGGCTTCTTACTGTAATGCACATGTACATGTGTTTTCAATGCATAAGTAGTCAGTAATTTCTGTATTTTCCCTTTATTTCAAAGTAAAAGGTTAGAGATCAGTTGTAACAGGTTTTGGGCTGAGGTTTATGAACAAAATCTCTGTGAACCTTGCAACAAATTTTTTATTTCAAAGTGGCATTTTTGTCAATTGAAGTGGTCAATTTGGGCAGTAGCAGGTTCTTATGGAAAACACTGTTTACAGAAAAGAGTATGGTACTACCATAGCATGGTGATAATGTCCGAATTAGCATTACAGTTTCTTATTAAGTTGATACTTTTAGTGTCAATAAAAAATGAGATAAAAGGAAGGAAAATGATTATCAGGAAGTTGTATCGGAGGTAACTCTGATGATGGTTTGGTGAAACACCAATGCAGTTGCTTTAGTGGACAGGAAATATATATTGTATGTTCATATATTATTTTCTTGGCAATATTTCAAGTGTGACTTGAGTCTTGCAACTCATGGATTTTATATAAAAGTGAGTAAGGAAACAAAATTTTAATTTTTATGCCATTGGAATTGAAGATTTAGGAGCATATAGTTACTCTGTCAATTAATCCCTCTAGCTTCCTGTTTGTTTGTCTGCAAAAAATTAACCTTGCCCATAATTTTTTGATAGGTTGGAACTATAACACATGTATGCCTTTCATATTTCATTTGTATTCCTATTGATAAGGTCTTCCTTTGGGTACCAACACATTTGACCTTGGGAGTTTAACCCATTTTTGCAAATCTTCAGGGTCATGAGACACAAAAATATTGGTAACCAAAGGAAGGTCATGTTACAAGGAATAAACACATAAGAATTATGGAAAGCCTAGCACCAATTGTACAAAAGAATTGGCCAAGGGGTGAGTTTCTCAAAATTTGGTCACACTTCAAGAGCAATATCCAAAATTATGGGCAAGGTAAAAGTACAACTTAACACCTCTGGCACCAGTCCGCCAATGTTGGGGAATTTTCTTTTGTTCGCCTCTAAATAGCAGTTCCTAACCCTAGCTCTAACCCTAACCCTAGCCATAACTTGAACCCTAACCCTAACCTTAGATCTGACACTTACCCTAGCCCTAACTCTTACAAGGGTAGGGATAGTTTACCATTAGAATTAGAGTTAGGGTTAGTGTTAAAGCTAGGGTTAGGCTGCAAGGGTTAAAATTTGGTAAAATTTTGACTTGAATTTAAGAAATTTAAACTTCTGCCATGGAGGAGCTTCAGCATTTCACAACTCCATCCCTCTCAGGAATTTTTTTTTCTGACCCATACTCAGGGTCAGTGAGCAGTGATGGTTCTTTTTTGTACCAACACTAACTTTGAGACAGGATCTCAGTTTATTCAGTCTCATCTGAACTCTGAACTTTCATGAAATTCTGTTTAAGGTTCAACTTGACAAATTCACAAAGGAATAATAGAAATTTATGTTATTAAGAGTTATCTCCTTTATCAGAGTACATGTATCAATGTACCTTAAGAGGAGCTACACTGTCAAACTGTTTTAAAAGACTTAAGTGTCTAAGTTCAAAAGAGGCATATAATTCGAAATAAAAGATTTCAATTAGAATTTCCTTCCAAAATGCAAATCTACAAAGTACTGTAAAACACCCCGATAGCAAACATGCTTTTTATGACTAAATATTGTGAGAGCATTTAACGGATTAACAAAATACAACGTTTATATAAACTAGGCAAAATCATCCATTCTTGACGTATCGTTGTTATAAGTTTATTTTCTTTGTCCACAATTTCATGGTATTCCAGATATCTATGTAAGAGATACAGAAGTTTAACTGTAGTTTATATGTTCTATGGCCAGTAGAACTGAAAATACATGATAAATAATCACAAATCAGACAAACGAGTTACTTGCAATTTTAATTAGTAATACTCTGACTTAAGATTTCATTCTATGTATTCACATTCCCATACATTGTATGCCATTCACACGTGCATCTTTCACACAGATTGACCAACACACATATCATCAAACAATGTTTCATGAAATTCTGTTTAAGGTTCAACTCGACAAATTCATAAAGGAATAATAGACATTTATATTATTAATAAGAGTTATTTCTCTTATCAGAGTATCGATGTACCTTAAGAGGAGCTACACTGTCAAACTGTTTTAAAAGACTTAAGTGTCTAAGTTCAAAAGACAACTCGCAATTTTAAAATGAAAGCTTTCTAGAAATAAGTCACAATCCATTTAAAAAAATAATTCAAAATTTTCTACATGAAGTTTTAAAAAATATTGTGTTTGTTTCCTTCCAAAATATCATGCAAATCTATGATTAAAGTACATCCCCAGTAATAACACCAGGTGTTATATTTACAGTGGACAAACATGCTTTTTATGACTAAATATTGTGAGAGCATTTAATGGATTAACAAAATATGACGTTTATATAAACAAAGCAAAATCGTCCATCCTTGGTGCTTTGTTATTATAGAATGTATTATTTTTTTTGTCCTGACAATTTTAAAAAATGGTATTCCAGATATCCCTGTGTGAAGAGATACAAAAGTTTAACAATTTCCCGGAAAAAGTGACATTTAAATATATATTTGTTCTATGTATATATGCCAAATTTGTATTTTATACCTAAAAATTATTATTTATAGCTTTACATAAACCTCAAAGTTGGCAAATCAGTCAAAGCATTGATTTTTGCATTTTTGGCCGACTTGCAATTTGTGATATTTTGATAGGTTATGATGTAAGGAATAAGATGTTTTTTTAGGGGCACCCCTATGGGTCAAAATTCACAAAAAACCTACAAAAAATAAGGAAACATTGTAAATCTGCTTCAAATTTATACCATATAGATTATTTTATAGACGGACTAGCTCAGTTGATATATGAGTTGGTTTTACGCAAATTTTTTTTTAATGTCGCGGGTACACACCTGGCACCACATTTTTACACACATTTCGTCTTTTCAAAGACTATTTTATTTTTTTTTATATAGACTTGTGTATTTTTCTTCAATTATTTATCCCTTGTGTATGCCCATTCTTGATACAAGAAAAACTAAAGAGATGTCAAATCGTAACAATCAAATGTACAGTTGTCAGTCAGGCGGAACAAACCTCAGTGTTAGCACACTTTCTCTGAGGACAGTCTCACTCTGTGTTATTTGATACTTCTCAGCCATGCACAACTAAATATATTCAGAAATCACATTGATTTTGGCTACATATAACATTAACTGTACTCCCTTGGATTTCAAATATAATTTGCACACATTAATGACATGTTTTATTATATCTATATCCACGGATAAATAGGAACAAAAAAAACAGAATTTGTTTTACCATTATGCACAATGACCAATTATTACATTTGGAGAGAGGAATGAAATAAAGATTTAGGAAAAAACAAATTGTTAAATGTATTCAGCCTAATGTCATTAATCAACAGTGGCCAAGATAGGTCAGATACCTATTTATAATGAAGTGATCCTTTACATTGAAAAAAATCAACTCGCAAAAATTTGCAAGTTACGAATTTTTTAACTCGCAATTTGGATATTCTAACTCGCATTTTGCGAGTTATATATAGTGAATTTCGAACCCTGGGTCTGCTGCATTTCCATGACAGGAAAGCCCTAGAGTGTTATATCGTCCTCTGCCTTCGGCATCGGGCGACATAACACTGCAGGGCTTTCCTGTCACTTTGGAGCAAATATTCTGGTATGCTGCCCCCGAGGCCATGTAATATATGTATAATATCTTTCAAATGATATTGTCCTATGGACTTGATGTTGAGGGCTTGTCCTAACAAAGTTAAATTATTCTAAACTACATTTAGTGCTGTGACCAGAAATTGACAGGTGAGACTGCCAGAGAAGAGCCTGGGTTCATGTGCATGGGTTGATGTCTCCAGGGGCCGAAGACTTTAATTAGGATGGAGGAATGTGGTGGTCAGACGTATTTTTCCTCTCCAGTTTACACTTGCATGAGCATGAAACTAAATAAGGTGCAATTTAAGATTCTCACTCAATATTTACCTGGACTTTGTAATGAAGATCCGCGCATCCCGATTTCTTTATTATTTTGTCCAGGGGATCGTCATCATCATCGTCTTCCGGGGGTTGTTTCGTTCTATTGTGATGCGACATTCTAAATGATGCTTTCTAAATCTTACGAAACCATGCTTGTCAAACGTAAACAAAGTCGCTTATAACATTAAATGATGCAATGTCATTATTTTAATCGACAACAGTAATTTTAACTACTGAGAAATCACAAATACTAAGTAAATATTAAAAAGCACCTGTGTTCTGTACACCGTTCCCAATTTTATCTGTTAATAATAGCCATTTTATTACATGATATAAGCGGCGCAAAAATTCCTACTTTCGGTTTCTGTTTGTCCGAAATGACAAGTCAACAACCGAATGCGAGAATTATACTTCAGCAATGCATGTCGGCCAAACTGATGGTTCAACCAGCGATAGAAGACGAGGAGGCAAAATATGTTCACGTAAGATGCATAGCTTTTTTTAAAATCTGGAACCCGATGCGTTACAAAAGCGTAAGTGTTGCATCATTTCGTCGTTTTATCAGGTTATATTTATTAGTTTGGGTTTTATCTAAGAACATTTCTTTAAAAAATAGTATATACCTTGAACTTTAACGAAAAAATCAGATCATATGCCATAAAACAAGGATGGCTTAAGAAATTGATGGGGGGGGGGGGGGGGTTCAGTACTTACCAGTGACAATGCATATACAGTGGAGCCTCATTTTTCCGGACGCTTTGGTTCATAGTTAATTTGTCCGGATATGTGAAACGTCCGGATACCTGAATCACCAGTTAAACAAAACAATATAACATTTAAAAATTCCGTCCCGATGAAAAAGTGTCTGGATACTCACGAAGCATCCGGATATCTGCATGGGGTCTGGATATCTGAAGGTCCACTGTATATTATTGATATAATGTATACCTACATGCTAGTGCTATTCTTATTAATCTTGCTGATTTCACGAGTGCAAAAAAAATTATCTACTTTAATGTCTTTTTAACAGACATCTAGAGGAGTGGTAGTCTATGTCTGTTTTCTACAAGGGGCCAACACAGATACAGTTGAAAAGATGGGTACATATATTTTTTGCATTCTTAATTACATGCTGTGATACTAAAATATTGCAACATACTAACCAAGTTGTTTAGGCTTCTACAACACATATAAACTTTCCTAATGCTCTTAGATTAAAATCTTTTTCATAATACAGACGTCTTCATTGGATTTTTTCCAGCTAAGGCGGCTTTGAACACCAAATTAAGTTCCGCAGAGGACGGAAAACTGGTCTCCGTACTTGACCTTCCTGGTGATGTTCTAATTATACCCCAGGCGACCTTGGGAGGAAATCTGAAGGGCAAGGTCATGCAGTACCATAGGAATATTCACAAGGAGGAGGGAGAGAAACTGTACAGAGCTTTTGTTGACCTTTGTACACAGACAGTCCAAGGTCACGATAAAGTAAAGCAGTGTAGTGTAAAGGCAGGAACCTACGGAAATAGACAAGTGTTCTCTACAGAAACTAATGGACCATTCACACACCTTATAGAGTTCTGATGATACACCTTTACAACTCAAATGATTCTCATTATTAATTTATTATTCATATTTTGTTGGGTAGTTGTCACAGTTATGTAAATATATGTTGGAAAAATAAAGCTGCAATGTGACCACTAACTCCAGAGCAAATGTGGTATATTCCAAGTTCAAAAGGAACATGCAAACCTCCCTGATAATTTTTGTATTGGAATATCCTGTGAATGTACAATTATGTTCAAATATATTACCGGTATATAATAATTATATGATGATGTATTTCCATTTCTAAAATTTTTTTTCTCTGTGATAACTCAAAGAACGTTAGTAGAGTTGATTTAAGGAATCACTGTCTAGTTCGTGTAGTATATGCCCATTATGCATAAACAAGAAATCGGTGAGCCAATGCTCACTAGTAATACCCCTGCTCTGATGTAAATAAGCACTAGCTATCATGTTAATATACACAAGTTCAATTTCAGGCAGATGCACAGAAAAATATGAAGTTGACATCAGATTCATATCAAAATTAATCCCACCATATGGCATGCCTCAACAAAGAGTGTAATAAAATTTAAAGCATCTGCTATGAATAGCTAATGAGTAAACTGCAACAAAGATTTGTTATGTATGAAACGGACAGACGCACAGACAAAAAGGAAGTTGACATCGGATTTGAACAAAAATGTAACCCACCATATGGCATGCCTCAGAGAAGATTGTTTTAAAATTTCAAGCATCTGTGATGAGTAGTTGCTGAGAAAACTACGACGAAATTTAATATGTATGAAACGGACAGACGCACAGACAAACAGGAAGTTGACATCGGATTTGAACAAAAATGTATCACAATTGTATGGCATGCTTCAGAGAAGATTGTGTTAAAATATCAAGCATCTGCGATGAGTAGTTGCTGAGAAAACTGCGACGTAAAATTTGTTATGTATGAAACGGACAGACGCACAGACAAACAGGAAGTTGATATCGGATTTGAGCAAAAATGTATCCCACCATATGACATGCCTCAGAGAAGATTGTGTTAAAATTTCAAGCAACTACGATGAGTAGTTGTTGAGAAAACTGCGACAAAAATTTGTTTTTATGAAATGGGGTGCACAGACAAACAAGAAGTTGACATCGGATTTAAGCAAAAATGTATCCCACCATGTGGCATACCTCAGAGAAGATTGTGGTAAAATTTCAAGCATCTGTGATGAGTAGTTGCTGAGAAAACTGCGACGAAAAATTTGTTTCGGACGGACACACGGACAGACAGACAGGCTAGACAGACAGACACACAAGGGTAAAACAGTACATGTATATCCCCTTCTCCTTCGGAGCAGGGGTATAATTATCCCATGTTTCCCACTATTGTTGATGTCCCTGGCATACCCGGTACTATGTATACGAACTAGACAGTGATTCCTTATATTTCCATTTCATTGTGGAATAAAATTGTAGATTTATATTTTTAAAATGTAAACAGAGATTTAAATTACACAAGGACTTCCTTGCCAATTTCCATAGCCCTGGCTCACTGATGTCAAATACAAAGGCAGCCGCAAGAGATTTTCATGCATATCTGGCATCATTAGCTTCAGACACAGAGACAGATGTGCACGAGATTTGCATGCAGATTAGGCCTCCCTAGCTCCTGGCCTTTTGACCTGCTAATTTACATTCCAGCAGATTTATCAAGAAATCAACTCCGTTAAGTTTCAAAGGGTTATCACAGAGAAAAAATAAGAAATGGAAATATTTCTTGATAAATCTACCGGAATGTAAATTAGGCAAATCGATAGATCAGGAGCTAAGTAGGCATAATACACATGTAAATCTGGTGCATGTTTGTCTTTGTGTCAGACGCTAAGGAGGCCAAATATGCATGTAAATATCGTGCAGCTGTCGTTGTGTTCATGGGGCAAGGACGCTGAATCGACATTTTTATTCACAATGAAATGGAAATATAAGAAATCACTGTCTATCTAGTAAAGTATGCCAGGGACATCAACGACAGAGGGAAACATGCTAGGGATAACTTATGCATAAGGGCTATAATTATCCCACGTTTTGCCCGTTATGCAAATTATTCCACGTTTCCTACTATCATTAATGCCCTGAAATACTACGCTAATTAGACAGTCAGTCCTTAATTCTGTACCTCCGTACATGACACAGGTTTTAAATGTCGAAATAAACCATCAACTTTAAATTTCGGAGCTCTTTGCAAAAGTCCAGTAGTCAGATTTACGACAAACAAACAGATAGAAGGAAGAAATGTTACTACATTCCCAGTGTAATACAGTCAAACCTCCGTAACTCAAACTCGATGGAACCAAAGGAAAACATTGAGATATCAAAGGTTTCAAGATGTCAAGGTTTGCAAGTATAAGATACCAGTACATGCTGGGACTTTCAACCATAATTTTGTGGTACAAATGTATTCCAGATATTCGTCACAAACCATGGCCAAAATGTACGCTCCTCTCCCATCTGGCCGTGGTTGAACGAGGAGAGAATTCTTCATAGCTCATTAAAATATTGACCAATGTGAGTAAAGCAAAGTCGGATGATGAACTTATTTCGTGACCTTTCAATATTCAATCGCAGTATAGAAAATATTTCTTGTATACTGTTGACGTCAGTTGTTGATTTCAATTGCGATGGAAACAAAACTTGCCACTGACTGAATATGACGTCACAATAGAGAGGCGTAAATATTCAAGATTATGACATTTTTTGTGCTGAAGCAGCCACGGTAGGAGAGAGCTATATATGCGGACTCCGGACCGTTACTTGAGACGATGATGTAGGAGATGCAATGGTTCTATGGCCAATAGAACTAAGAAACCAGAAGTCTCTGTCGAGACTGAAGCTCTACTGGTTTGTACTTACAGCAAAGGAAGAGAAAAGTACTTAGGCAATTGGGAATTGAAACTTTACAACAGCAATAAATATAACAATGATCCTTGATAAAGTCTCTTTATGTTCTTAGTGTAGTCTACTTGTGTGCCAATTTATATTGAAACCAGACCAAAACTGTAGGTGGAGTAGCATTTTGAAACAATTTTACAGAAATTTCTACTTTTAGTAACCACGACAACACCATTCATGGAAATCAAAAACCGATAAACCTAATTATGTATCTTAGTGCAGTCTACTTGTGTGCCAAGTTATATTGAAATCAGACCAAAACTGTAGGAGGAGTAGCATTTTGAAACCATTTTACAGAAATTTCTATTTTTAGTAACCACGACAACACCGTTCAAGGAAATCAAAAACCGATAAATCTAATTATGTATCTTGGTGCATTCTACTTGTGTGCCAAGTTATATTGAAATCAAACCAAAACTGTAGGAGGAGTAGCATTTTGAAACAATTTTACAGAAATTTCTATTTTTAGTAACCACGACAACACCGTTTATCGAAATCAAAAATCGATACACAGAATTATGTATCTTAGTGTAGTCTACTTGTGTGCCAAGTTATTTTGAAATCAGAGCAAAACTGTAGGAGGAGTAGGAGCATTTTGAAAGAATTTCACAGCAATTTCTATTTTTAGTAACCACAGCAACATCGTTTATCGAAATCAAAAACCGATACACAGAATTATGTAACTTAGTGTAATCTACTTGTTTGCCAAGTTATATTGAAATCAGACCAAAACTGTAGGAGGAGTAGCATTTTAAAAGAAATTTCACAGAAATTTCTATTTTTAGTTACCACGGCAACACCGTTTATCGAAATCAAAAACCGATACACAGAATTATGTATCTTAGTGTAGTCTACTTGTGTGTCAAATTATATTGAAATCAGACCAAAACTGTAGGAGAAGTAGCATTTTGAAAGAATTTCACAGAAATTTCTATTTTTAGTTACCACGGCAACACCGTTTATCGAAATCAAAAACCGATACACAGAATTATGTATCTTAGTATAATCTACTTGTGTGCCAAGTTATTTTGAAATCAGAGCAAAACTGTAGGAGGAGTAGCATTTTGAAAAATTGTTTACAGACAGACAGATGGACAGCTAGACGGACGGACGACGGACGCATTACTATCGCATAAGCTCTTCTGGTCTCTGACCAGTAGAGCTAAAAATAACATACAATGTAACTTATCACAAATCAAATGGTTTACTTGCAATTTTAATACTCTGACAATTAAAAGTAGTCATTCCATGTACATTCAAATTCCAATACTCTGTATGCGGCTAATGCCATTCACATATTTCATCTTTCAGTGCATTCTTCTTGTAAGGCAGTTTTTCCACCAGTACACATCTGATCATCACATGTTGTCAGGTTTTATTCTTTTGTTTCATGTTCTTTTCCATACAGGCCCTGAATTCTATAATCTCTCTCTGACACTGTCTCCAGTCCTGCTTCTCCACTATACAGGTCTAAAACAGATACATCAAGAGATAATTCAAAAATTATAAAATCTTCAAGGAAATTTCTTCCTGAATCTTTCTCATTCCTTGTCTCTCTGCTCTTTTCTCTATACGTGTAAAATAACATATATGTATTTCTGTAATCTTCAAGAGTTCATATAATTTCCTTAGATTTTTTTAAATAGAAAAAGATACATGTGATAATGATGCTTAGAAGAAAATTTCTGGACAGTAGTGAATGCTTTTGTTTGGGAGAAGGGATTCCATCCATAAAATTTCCCCTTTCTCGTTCCAACTTCCAGCTACTGTAAAATAGCCCCCCTTCCCCCATCTGACTGGGCAATTTTCTTTCTCTCTCTTTGAACCTGGGCCCTCTGAATGCTATACCAACTGGGCTATGATATCTGGCCATCAACAGTCAAGCTCGTCTGACAGTCACATATTTATCCTTCCATTACATTTGGTGCCATGACAGGCCTTGGAAGTGACAGGTGAAAGACCTGCCAGGGAAGAGCCAGAGACCATTAAGGATGAAAACCTGTGGTGGTCAGATAGTTCAGTCAGTAGTGAAAATCATCTTAATTACTAGATGATGTTTACGAGATCTCCACAAAATTGGTGGCAGACAAAATTCCACGTGGGGTGATTGCGGATTTGCATCTGACCAGACATCAGGGCAGCCCAATATCAAATACCAGTCTTAATTGTCTGCAGCATTTTTATCCATTTGTTAATTTTTGTGCCTTGACTAGGATGTATTAGGTTAAAGACCTGCCAGGGAAGAGCCTGGGTTACTTTATTAATTCAAGGGCCGAATTAAGACCTATAACTGAGTTTGGCAGTAAGCCTGGTTCGATCGCCAGTGGCTATATATATAGATAGCTCAGTTGGTAAAGCACTTGATAGGGATCAAATCCAAGTCTGGTCCACTGCAATTTTCTCATTTCCATTTACACTTCATACTGTGCCATGCCCAAGAAGTGAAAGGTGAATGGCCTGCAAGGGATGAGCCTGGGTTGAGGTTTTGTTTTCGAGGGGGGGGGGGGGCTTTAAGAAGGCGGACTGTTGCAGCTAGCCGGGTTCTATCGCCGGTGGCCAGATGACCCAATTGGTAGAGAACCTGACTAGAGATTCGGGGGGTTAGAAACCTGGTCTGGCCCGCTGCATTTTTCTCCTCTCCCTCGATCCATTCAACATGCATGAACATGAAACTGAGTTTATAAGGTGCAGGTGTAAGACCCTCACTCAATAATTTACCTCGACTTTGTATTGCAGATCTGTGCATCCTGCTTCCTTAATTAATTTGTCCAGCGGATCATAATCGTCTTCCGCTGGTTGCTTTGCTCTGTTGTGATGTGACATTCCAAATTTTACGAAATCATGCTTGCTAAAAGTAAACAAAGTGGCTTATAACATTAAATGATACAATGCAATAAGAAATTTTAAATGCGTAGAAATCATAAATATTCAGTAAATATTCAGTAAATATTTAACAACACCCATTAGACTGTTATCTGTGCACCACGTTTAATGTTATCTAAAATGATAGCCATATGATTACATGATTTAAGCGGCACAAAAAATCCGACTTTCTCCAAAATCAATCTCCTATGCAGAGTTGTCGTTCGTTCCTCTCTCTGAATGTATGAGCCGATGGTAGAGAGTGATCCAAAATGACAAGTCTCAAACACGAGAATTATGCCACACCAATGCCTGTCGGACAAACTGATGGTTCAAACCAAACAAAAAAAACAATAAAGTAAATCAGATTATATACTGTAAAACATGGATGGCTTCAGAAATTGATGAAAGGGGGGGGGGGGTTATAATTCAGTAAGTATCAGTGATACTACATTTTAAAAGTATACAAGTACCCGCGTGCTTGTACTATTCTTATTAATCTTGTTGATTTCATGAGTAGAAGACGGGGTTTCTTTTACTTAATAAAAATCACTCATAGATATTCAGTATGTTCAGAGGAGTGGTAGTGACTAGTTTATGTCTGTTTTATACGAAGGTCAAACACAGATACAGTTGAAAAGATGGGTACACATATTTTTATACCCCCGCTTGAAAAGCGGGAGGGTATATTGTAATTGGTATGTTCGTCCATCCGTCCGTCTAGCTGTCCGTCCGTCTGTTACGCTTTGGGGTACCCATCTCTTATATAACCGCAACTCCTCGCATACCACTGAATGAAATTTGATGAAACTTTCACGTACAGAATCTTTATTACACATTACCATTGTGCACCTCCTATTTTATTTTTTTGATCTGACACATATTTTGAGTTACCCACAACAAAACATGGACACTCCCACTATATTCATTTGGGAGGCTAGGGATATCATTTATAGTGAGCCCATTGCTCAGAGAACTTTTTTTTTTTTTTTTCAAATATGCTGTGAAACTAAAATATTGCGACATACTAACCAAGTAGCTTAGACTTCTACAACACATAATTATGAATAAACTTTCCTAATGATGTTTTAAAAAATCTTTTATCATAATACGGACGTCTTCATAGGATTTTTTTCCCAGCTAAGGCCGCATTGAACACCAATGGATCTGTTACATAGCTCTTTGCTTTATCTATCCCTTTCTGGAGCAGAGAGCTACAGTTCTGCAGCCAGGTTATAAAATACACAAAAATTATAAGAGCTTTGAAGGCCATTTTTTATGTAAGTGCTGTCTGGAAATCTCTTGAATGAATTATAAAGAATGGAACTTATAATATTAGAGGTACGTATTGTACTATGAGTAATGAGCTCACTAAATGATACCCCCGCCTCCCATATGAATATAATGGGAGTTTCCATGTTTTGCTGTGGGAAACCCAAAATTTGTGTCAAATCAAAAAGTAAAATAGGAGGTGCACAATGGCAATATGTAATAAAGGTTCTGTGAAAGTTTCATCAAATGTGTATTCAGTGGTATGAGAGGAGCTGCGGATAAGAGATGGGTACTCCAAAGCGTAACAGACAGACGGACGGACGTACAGACGGACATACCGATTACTATATATCCTCCCACTTTTCAAGCGGGGATATAATAAGTTTGTCGTTGCTGGCTGATTTAATGTGTAGGAGTAATGACTTAACTGTAATCGGCTTATTGATAAAAATGTAGCGGTAAATGATCACCAAAAAATTTCGAAGAAATGTAGCGATACTGAGCTGAAATTTGATTGTCGCAATGTATCTAGGTAATGTTGACTTCCCGTTGCATGATGCTCAGGTGACCTATAAGACCCATGGGCCTCTTATTTTATTTACATTTTTAGACAGAAAGGAAATTCTTGCTTATGTTCATTATTTACATAAGTAATAGTTTCCTTTCTGTCAATCGGAAGCCGTACGCATATCGCAGATAGATTTAATTTTAAATACTAAATACAAATAGACCAGGAATTTAAAAATGACATGAATATCACATTAAGAAAGAATAACCAGAAACGAATCGGCCAAAGGACAGAGGCCACACTGTCAGGTCAGGTAGGAGATTTACACATTACTCTCATGATACAGTAAATCGACAGTAAAAATGATTCGGAAATTCAAAGAAACCGATTTAATGATTTTGAATTAATTTGAAAGGTTTTGAATTTATTTGGTGGGGTAAATCGAAATTTATAATTATTTGAAATATTATTGGAAATTTTGAATTTAGCTTTGCATTCAAATTTTTGTAGATTTGTATAGAATTAAAATCAAAGTACTGTGAGTACTGAAAGGCGGTGGCGTGAATGATTTTGTTTAACGTCCATTTCGAGAATAAATTTTGAGCAGCGATGGATATTTTTCTGGCTAGCAATTACTGCAACACAGGATCTGAATTAAGGGCGTGTCCCGCAGTGGGAGTCGAATCCGCGACATAAGGATGGGTTCCTTCAGGTCCGTGACCCAGAGCAAACCCGCTACATCAAATGGCGACTGACATTAAATAAGATAAAATGTTGTAAGAATTTGTAAAATGATATGGAAATTATAAAAGCTCTATTTCATTTTTTTCACAATGCCCACGTATGCAATGACAATACACGATAATTCTGTATGTAGTTTAAGAAATTCTGAAAAATCTTATGTCACACTCCGATGTGAACAAAGATCTTATGACAGTGATACAATACCTTTACATAATTTCTGTCTGATACAATACCTTTACATAATTTCTGTCGATCTGTAAAGCTTTGGAGGCGTCACTCAGCGCGTAACCAAAACTCTCCGTCCTGAGATGAGCAAAGCTGCGGTTTCAGTAATAAGCCACTACGTGTGTAATATCTGTATACAGGGTTATTTTTGCCCCGTTTTAAAATTCGCCCAGTCATAGTTTTGTTGAAGAAATTATGTTGTGAATTCAAATTCGCCCAAGAAAGAAGTGGACAAATGGGCGAAAATAAAACGGGGGCGAAAATTGTCCCGTATACAGTACGTTATGGCCTGGGAGTAATCGCCATCTACAAAATAATTATAGATACCTTATTTTAAAATATTGATATTACATGATGTTAATTATCAATAAGTAAATTTGTTTACATTTAAAATATCATGCTTATGTGCAAAAGTTTATAAGTTGGTGGTTATGATGGATAACCAGCAAAGTCAATGTAGGTTTGCTGCTTTCAGTAATATTAATGCTGACTTTGAACAATGATTAAAATACCTGAAACATCAACTTAACTGACAATAGCTGCCAAGCTTTAAACAATGATCGAACTCTGAACATGCTCTTGAGTATCAAATTAGTTCGGAGATGAAAACACCGTATACAGGTGATATCAGACTATTTCATAAAAAATTAATAAATTTTGTTTATAAATTTAATAAATGACCAAAATATTTTTTAGCCAAACCAGAAGGCATATTTCTCAAAAAAGTTATCCGGTATCCGTTCATTGGCAAAAATTAAAAATTCTGTAATAGTAAACTCCTCTGGACAAGGTAAAAAATATTCAATGATTGACTCACTAAAAGTTAAGGATATTCGATCCTCAGGCAGGAAGGATAACTCTTTAATCTATAATTTTATTTCGAAAAGTCTTAATTTGAAGCTGGAAACCTTCTAGTGCAACACTTTTTATGTTTTTCAATGTGATTCATCCGTCCTTTGGATGAGACTGCATAAACTGAGATCCCTTGTCGCAGTAGGTTGTAACATGAAAAAAATCCCTCCCTGTTCAATGGCTCTGAGTTCCGAGAATACAACAAATTTTGCAGCTCTCCATCGGCAAGTGGTGGTATCTTCATATGAGTGAAAAAAATTCGAGAGGGACGTTAAATAACAAAAAATTAATTAATCATCAATGTGATTCAATGTTCTTTGAAGGTTTTAGAAAAGGTCTTATAAGTTGATATTTTTATCCAACTAAAAGTATTTTCCACCAACCCCCCCCCCCCCCCCCCCCCCCCCCCCCCGCCCCGATAATAATAATATAAACATTTGACTGCTATGAAATCAAATTTCCTTTAAATCTGACCTTACATACCAATGTTTATTAGCATGATATGGAATAAGATTTCATCTGTGGTGATTTTAATGATGGGAAACATAAATGCTCTAAGAATTATATTAATAAATATAGAATGATTGAAGTAAAAACAAGAATCTAAAGTACCATGTACTAGTACATGTACAAATGATGTAAGTATATTGATTGTATCCTGTTTAACGTCCCTCTCCAGAATATTTCACTGATATGGAGACGTCACCATTGCCGGTGAAGGGCTGCAAATTTAGGCCTATGCTCGGCACTCAGGGCTTTTGAGCAGGGAGGGATCTTTATCGCGCCACACCCCTGCTGTGACACGGGGCCTCGGTTTATACGGTCTAAAAACTGTTATAAAACTTATTCAAGAGCCTGAATACTTATAACTCTCATTCTAAAATGTATTTATTGATCGATTTTCATTAGTAACTGCATAATTATTAGACAAATTTAATCCCCAGTATACACAAACCAGGAAGTTAAATACCTGTCTAGTAGACAATACAAATACCACGTGATCAAAGTAGCAGGGAGGAATTTGGTCAACAAACGCCATTACTGTCTAAAATCAGGTAGGACTCATACGATCTGATATTAATGCAGGCCTCATAGCCTAGTTTGAAAATTCAAAATATTACTTGAAAACAAAACATTATACATGTACATTACAAAGTTTCTTGTATTCTGAGATAAGGGGTAAATTAGTTTGACCCCTTCTCCCTCCAAGGAATTCTATAAACTGCATTCAATTATGATGGATCCAAAGAAGAGTTTGTATTACATATAATGTATGCATTTTGGGGTTGTCAATGTATAACTTATTCTTAAAATTTTGTAATACTTAAGTTTTACCATCTCATATGGACCCATTTGTAGTTAATTTAAAGGACATCGGGGAGTTATAGAGGAATTTCTTTGTTCTCTTATTTTGACTGTTGTTTGACAATTTCCAACTCAAATATTTTTCATTCCTCTTCATGGACCAGTGAAGGTCTTCTAAATTAGGCCTTAACAGTGATGGTGTTTATCTTCTCATTGCCTACCATGTAAGGAAACCTCCATTCTAAGGTTTCCTCAGACAGATCTGTGATTTTAACGTTTTTTTTGCATGGTTAACGACCTAAATTCAGTTCAGAATGATCAGACCAAATTTAAAGAATACCTTAACTTTAGCTCAGGAAAATTCATTGAAGTTTCAACATTCGTTACTTATCCATTAGAGAAAAATAAACTAGACACAAATATATATTCTTTTTCTGCTAGTGACCTTGGACTTGACAAAATTACCTTGATACAGGTCAATCAATAATAATGATTATATTTATGAAATTATGAATATATATTAATCCATTTCAGATCCACACATTTAATTATGAACCCCCGTACGAGTGCCCAGGACGTGATGCGATGTGACCTGTGTGAGACCGCTGTGGTACAGATGCACTGTGATACGTGTCTTGTCAACCTGTGTAAGGCCTGTGTGGGAGAACACATGGTTTTTGATGAATCCAAAAAACATGACATAGTTCCATTTAAAATTCGAAAATCCACTCCCAAATATCCAAGATGCACAGATCATGCTGAAGAAGGATGTGAAATGTACTGTAATCAATGTGACAGTCCTGTCTGCATCAGTTGTGTTGCATCTGATCAACATCTAGGCCATAAAATTGTGAAAATTGAGCAAGTTTTGGGTGAAAGAAAAAACAAAATTAAAAAAGATTTAATTGAATTGAATGAAAACATTTATCCCACCTACCAGGACATTGCCTCTGATGTACAAAACACAATAGGTCAGTTAGAAAAGGAATATGGAGATCTCTCAACAGCAATAACAAAACACGGAGAGGACTGGCACAGAGAAATTGACAAACTTGTCCAGGAACTTAAAGCCGACGTTGATGAGATGAAAAACTCACAATTGAAAATTCTACAGATACATTTGGACGAAATAAATAAGAAAATGTCTGAGATCAAGGACGAAATCGGTTCAATTACTGTTGCTGTTCAAACGAATGAGATTTCAAAACTATTCAATGTAACAACTGATATAAACAAGTATAGAAATCTTCCAGAAAACATAGTTCCCTCCGTACCCAAATTCAAGCCAGTAAACATAGAAGCAGAGCTTGCTAAAATATTTGGAGCTTTGCCATCAAGTTCTTTAACTTCAGATAAACATGGCTATAGCGTGAAGACTACTCAAATTTCAACACAATCTGAGTCCTCCCCTCCAGTCAAACAGCTGCTTGATGAACCAGAGACTGACATCGCCATAGACACTGGGTTTGAATACCTTTACAATGTGGCCTGTCTGAGTGATGAAAAAATCTGGGCAAGTGGGATGGACAAAACAATGAAACTCTTTAGTATCAATCAGGGATTACTTCTCAAGTCAATCACAACCAAGTCAGGGAGCGAGCCAATGGACATAGCTGTGACAAAAAGTGGAGAACTAGTTTATATTGACGAAAATGAAAGAACAGTAAATATTGTGAAGAATGAGAAGATAGAGGAAGTGATCAGACTACAGAACTGGAGACCCCACGGTGTCTGTAGTACCTCCTCTGGTGACCTCCTGGTCATTATGTACAATAATGATGACTGTCCGTCAAAAGTTGTCCGTTACTATGGGGCCACAGAGAAGCAATGCATTCAGTTCGATGATAAGGGTAAACCTCTCTATTCTTCTGGTTTGCTCTATTACATTACTGAGAATAGGAACCTGGATATCTGTGTATCTGACTACGAAGCTAAAGCAGTAGTGGTGGTCAATCAGGCCGGGAAACTGAGATTCAGGTACACTGGACATACTCCTGTTATGAAGAACAAACCATTCTGTCCACGAGGAATCACCACAAACAGCCAGAGTCACATCCTTACAGCTGATTATAACAATGAGTGTGTCCATATCATAGACCAGGATGGACTGTTCCTCCGTTACATAGACTGTGGACTGAGTGAACCCTATGGACTGTCCATAGATACAAATGACAATCTGTTTGTTGCTGAATCGAAATACAAAAAAGTGAAGAAAATCATATATCTGAAGATTAGTGAAATCTAAGATTGTATTCATAAAAACACCCTTGTTTTTTTTTTTCTTCAAGTTCATGCATATGGTATTGATTCGGTTCTTTTATGCAAAATAGAGAACTACAAACAATAAAACCCGCTTATGTACCTAAACTCCATTATGGCATTAATGTAAAGGATGATACATGTAGATGAATGTGCATAAACAGTTCATAATTCATAATACAGGAGTTCCTGTATGAAATGAACTATGAAGAATCTGATGGCGCATGGAATATAATTCTTCTCAATGTGCATGATGTGTTACCTGTGTATCTGTATGCTTTGAACAAAAAGGTGGTTGTAAAACACGAATCTGTTTTCCCCTCTTGGTAATGGGCGGGCCTTTTTCAATTCATCAAGATTTTGATGAAATTGTTTCTTTTCTGGCTTGCAAATATATATTTATTTATTTATGTTTGTTAAATTTTATGTCATAATTTGCTTTTGTTTAGTTATACATTGTACGTTATATTTGATAATTTACACTAAAATAGAGAAGTCACTAGCTCTAGGTATAATGCTAAAATTTGACACAGCCTTTGATACAGCCTTATCAATATCAGTGTAGTGTTTTTTGTTGGTTCCTCATGGAGACAATCCGTAAAGCCTTGGAGGCGTCACTTCATATAAACCAATAATAGTTTTCTAAATGGTCTGGCATTATCCTGTTATTAGCATCGCGATGCTGATAATTTTTGACGTTGTTGACGTAAATAAAATTATAATTTTGCGAGCTTAGAAATAGTCTTTAAACAACAATATTTATGGATTTTATGCTTATTCCGTTAATTCCCACTCTCTGCCATCAGCTCATACATAAGTCATGTCTGACAGAAGAACGAAAGACAACTCTGCATGGGAGATTGGTTATACTTCCATGATAACTTATTCTCATGAACGGTATTAAAAATAATGCATTTTTGAAAATGCAGAATAAGTGTCTTCATAAACAAAACTATATATTATAAAACTATAAAAATTTAATATATATGTACTTTATTCCGTTAATTATAAATGAGTTGAGATAAATATATAACGGAATAAACGTCTTCATAAACAAAACTATTAAAATTGAAAATATATAGACTTTAATCCGTTATAAAAACAAAGTGGAGATAAATGTTTAACGGAATAAATGTCTCCATAAACAAAACTATCAATTTTCAATATATGCACTTTATTTCGTTATAAATAAGTTGACATAAATATTTAACGGAATAAATGTCTTCATAAACAAAACTATCAATTTTCAATATATGCACTTTATTCCGTTATAAATAAGTTGAGATAAATAAATAACGGAATAAATGTCTTCATAAACAAGCTATCAATTTTCAATATATGCACTTTATTCCGTTATAAATAAGTTGAGATAAATATTTAACGGATTAAATGTCTTCATAAACAAAACTATCAAAATTTATGATGTGTACTTTTTTCCGTTAGAAATTAGTTGAGATAAATTAATAGCGGAACAAATTCCACGGTCTTCAAAAACAAAACTATCAAAATTCAATATACCCCGGAATGCGCTTTATTCTGTTTGATATCTGAACATATACGGAATAAATGCTATCTATTGCGATTACATGTAAATGCACAATACATTTTGGCATTCTGATCAATTTCATTGTCTACAATAAAGTAACATATTTAAAATGTTCATATCGGATATTTTATTTCTGCACGGATTTCAATGTACAGTGTATTCCAGAACAGGTTAGGAAGTAGAAGTCCTTTGTTTGTACGTTGCGTGACAGTGTAAAGAAATCCCGCACGCTTCTGTATAGGTTGAATATTGAATGAGTCGCTTATCACGATCTTCTACTACATTTTAAAGAAAACTGAATGCATTGTGATACCAAAAATTATGTTTTAATCTTCTCTCTTTGTGGAGCTAATGATCTTGATATTTGGAAACGTCGTCTCTCTCTATATACTCCTGTTATTAGCATCACGATGCGAATTAGTTTTGGAGTATTTAAATGTCCCTCGTCTCTCTATATATACTCCTGTTATTGGCATCGCGATGCTAATTAGTTTGGAGGTATTTTATTCAGTAAAACGTGTCATTTTAAGAGTGATCCCCCCCAAAAAAGCCAAGCCCCATTTTTTCTTATGGTATCCCCCAAAGAAACCCTTTTCCCGGGAATATTTCCCTTTGTGGAGCTTAATAATCTTGATATTTAGAAAGTCGTCTCTCTTTATATACTCCTGTTATTAGCATCGCGATGCGAATTAGTTTTGGGGTATTTAAATGTCCATCGTCTCTCTATATATGCTCCTGTTATTGGCATCGCGATGCTAATTAGTTTGGAGGTATTTTATTCAGTAAAACGTGTCATTTTAAGAGTGATCCCCCCAAAAAAGCCACGCCCCATTTTTTCTTATGGTATCCCCCAAAGAAACCCTTTTCCCGGGAATACTTCCCTTTGTGGAGCTTATGATCTTGATATTTGGAAACGTCGTCTCTCTATATGTACTCCTGTTATTAGCATCGCGATGCGAATTAGTTTTGGGGTATTTAAATGTCCCTCGTCTCTCTATATATACTCCTGTTATTGGCATCGCGATGCTAATTAGTTTGGAGGTATTTTATTCAGTAAAACGTGTCATTTTAAGAGTGATCCCCCCCAAAAAAAGCCAAGCCCCATTTTTTCTTATGGTATCCCCCAAAGAAACCCTTTTCCCGGGAATACTTCCCTTTGTGGAGCTTATGATCTTGATATTTGGAAACGTCGTCTCTCTATATATACTCCTGTTATTATCATCGCGATGCGAATTAGTTTGGAGGTATTTAAATTAATTTTTCCCCTAAATCTTATTTCAAACAATTTAAAATCATTAAACATTGAAATATTAACACATTTAACGCTTCTGCCGTTACGTAAAAAACGTCAAATATTATTAGCATCGCGATGCTAATAACAGGATAATGTCAATGGTCCTACTCAAAAGGTCATCTAGAATGCATGTCATCAAGAACATCAGACGTTATGTCAGGGTGCCATGAAGTCCACTTCTCTTCCTAATTTACATCAACGACGTTTCAGAGAGGGTAACACCAACAGCTTGTCTTTTTGCTGATGACTGTTTACTTTACAGAACGATCAGTAACGGGAAGAAGATACCAATTACTCACAATCAGACCTCGATAGACTGCAGTCATATGGGACTTTTACGAGGAGCACTGACTTTTACAGTTGACGCTTACTTTAACACTCATGGCTATGTACGGTAGCTCTTTTATGATGTAAATATTTAGCTCAACATTTAAATAACGAAAATAACGGGTTATTTCAACGTACATATCAGTTGTTCTTTACGAAAACGACAACCACTCTACCCTCAACGCCCGGTCTTCACACGTAAGTGCCCCTACCACCATACCTATGACCACTAGAAAGGTTTTCTTATGCATTATCAATTCTGTGCTTCCGTACATGATACAAGTTTAAATGTCCATTGTGGCCGGTTGCGTATCTCAGATTTAAACCTACGATCAATGATTCCGGGTTTAAATCCAAGTTTTCGAGTTGCACGCATGTAAGGATTGGCTGAGTACGGCTCAGAATTACGGTAAATTCTGAACCTGGTGTAGGGGTGGTTTAAACCCAGCTTAATAACGTTTCCATGGATTTTGGGGTAGAATATTTCGATATTTTGAAATATTTCGATGTTTCAGAAATGTTTTATGGTAATGATGATTGCATTGATAGATTTTGCAGTATTAAAAAAGCTATTCTACAAGATTTTTTTTGGCCATATAGCATGGGGATTTTTCTTTTTTGCACAACTCATCAACAGCTGTTCAATGTGCCGTTTTAACACTGATGTAGCTGTAGTATAAAGTTTTGGAAGATACTTTTTAAATACATAAATGTACATAAACAGGAATTTTTTAGAAACCCTCTAATATACCAAATTTAAATCAAATTACGAATTTTACACTGTCGAACAGCTGATGATACATATTCCAATTATTTCTAATAATGCATAATTTCCTAAGGATAAAAAGTCTTTCAGTTATCTGATTAATTAATCAGGCTATCTACATGACCGTAAGAACCGGACCGGAGGGAGGGAGGGCATGTTCGTCTCCTATAATTTTGCGGCTGTATAAAATTACCTACAAAACATAGATAATAAGTGTTTTCTCATAAATAATGTCTTATAAGTTTTTTCACTTTATTTTAAACTAAAAATCTTAATTTATACATTGTTTCTTGATTATTTACTTATATATTATGTTTTTATATTGTTTCTAAATTACTTACTAGTATTCCAAAGACCCCCCACCCCTGTTTTCTTCTCTTCAGTCTTTTGCAAAAGGATTACTTTGCTTGCGATTTTAAATTTTCTTATGGCTTGAGTTTCGATGATAGCTGCCGTGATTTGAACTAAATTGCATTGCATTTTGACATTTTTAAATTTACAATTTAACATCAATGTATATCTTTGTTTTTAAATATATCCTTCTAATTTTCAACCTGTTACTAGTATTTAAACTTGTTTTGAAGTGCTGTAATATTAGGAAACCTATTATCCTTCAACATTTTATGTGAGTAAGTCAAGATTAGGTAAACCTTACTCAGTTTTATAGCTTGCAACAGAAATGCGACTCAGGTAATCCCTACTCAAATGGGGTTTAAACCCGGTGTAACGTTGAATTTTGAACCGGGTTGAAAATTGACCCGGGGGTCATTTTTCAACGTTGAATACTGAGACCAAAGGTGTTGAATTTAGACCCTAATCCGTTGAAAACTGAGCCGGGTCGTGGAATTTTGATCATGAAACCGGTTCAAAATTCAACAGCATAAAAACACATATTTATGATTGGGTTTTCACTACTGTGATTTAATTCATAGGTATGAGGCCCCGTTTTGGTATTTACTGCAAAAAGTAATATCCCCTATTTGAATAAGTGATATCACTTGTTCCAATAGATGATATCACCTATTTGATTTGAATTTGTGATATCACCAATTCGAAAAGGTGATATCACTTATTCGAATTGGTGATATCGCGTATTCGATTGGGTGATATCACCTTTTCCCGTCGAACAGCTGTAGTTTTTTTTTTTTGCTTACAAATTAATTTATTTCACTTATATATCATGTATACAACAAGAAAATCGTAGAAAACGCATGAAAACTGGGTAGTCCGAATTTTCTTGGTTCCAGTGGTAATCTATTTATTATAGGGAGCATTCATTATTGACTGTTGTAAGAAACTCAAATAGGTAATATCACCTTTTCGAATAGGTGATACCACTTATTCAAATAGATGATAGCACCTACTAGTATTTAGCACGAAAAGGTGATATCATCTTTTATTCTAAGCTCTCTGATTGGCTCAAACTTGATCACATGATTAAGTATAAAAGCATAAAGACTTGAGTTACTATTTATAGAATCTGAAATGCATATTGACTTCATGTTTTTTTTCTTGTGATCATATGCTATATTGCAGGAGTCCTTTTAGAAAATATCATTAAAGTGAGTGACATCAAATAGTATCGATTTCTCAATTAAAGATAATACAGAGTATGACTTGGTGTTTCTGAAAAAAAAAAATTACTACAACTTGTATCAATATTTTTTTAATGTTCCGTAATTGATGAGACGTAACAATGCTTTAAAGTCTTGAATTAGGATCTACATGTACTTTATATTAAAACATATTGGATATCTTTGTCAAAAATTGATACGAGACATAATCAAATAATTAAATTAGTATTCTGAATAACTAAATCCTCTATAATTACTCCATCAATGTATAAAACGAAACACATTTATTTAATATTAAACAGCAACAGCTTAATTTATGCTGATCTCTAGTCTCTAAGTCTTGAAGAGAGAAAACTTGTGCCTTATTCCCATATTTTCAAATTTTGTTTTGTCAATATATGTGATAAAATGATTCATATCCGATAATAGTGTTAAACTTTACATTCCTATTTAATTGAGTTTACAACCAATTCTAGTTTAATTTGTCATATTTCCGAGACGAGAATGCAATCATGGCAATTATTGAAAAAGAATTTAAAAAAACATCGCATAGGAGATCATAGAGATAAAATTATGTAATAAGATGAGAAGTTTATAGAATAGGAATCGTATTTTTTCGAAAAGAAATAGATGCTAGTATGTTCTCGAACAACAACTTTATTGCATATAAACCAAAAAATTATCGAATAAAAAAGATAAAATTATCGAATAGGAATGACAAAATTAGCGACTAGCAACCGATTATTTTAAATATCAATGACATCGAATATAGGAAACGCGTGTTTTCGAAAAAAAAAAAAATATGTAAATTTTATGATATATTAATCATATTGTCACATTTCTTGTAATTGGAATAGCAATTTATCGAATACAAATTACAAATAATGGAATAGAAATAACAAGTAATCAAATAGGAATCACATTGTATAGAATAAGAATAATCTCATTCTCAAGGTTATGGTCCGGAAGCGATCAATTTTCAAGCCGAGACAGGCTACTGACAAATAAGTTAATTGTTACAGGGATTTCAACAATTTATTTAAAGTCAGCATTACTTACATGCTATGGTCGCTATAATATTGCTCTTTTTCACAAATATAACCTATCATTGGAATCATTTTGGTCGGTGTGTTTCATTCTAATTTTTAGGCTATTAATTCTGTTATTTTTATACTGAATTTGACTAGATGGGATGTTCCGCCCACCTGATCAATATATATAGGGCTCACTTTCTATATAGCAGATTTTTAAGATTTTTGTTTTATGCCCCATTCGTTGTTTTGTAGTTATTTATGGATGCCATGGATTTTGGAAAGTATTTTCAAAAATAAAGTTGTCATGCTTGAAGATAACTGAAATCGTGCAGTGATCAAAATGTACATATATACACGGGGTGATACTGTATGTTTATTTCTATTATTCTTGAAAAGGGAAAAAAATGAAACCGAAATTTAAATAAAGTGATATTGCATGATAAATCCCGTAAAACAACTTCCCAGCTAAAAAAAAATGTTCAAACTTTGAGGTGGTGTCAATATTCAACAGGGTCAATTTTCAACTTGTTGACGTCATCAGGTGTAAGAAAAAAATTATCAAGCTGTTGAAAAATGACCCCGGGTATAAATTCAACGACTTTTGGTCTCAATATTCAACGTTGAAAAATGACCCCGGGTCAATATTCAACGTTGAAAAAAGACCCCCGGGTCAATTTTCAACTCGGGTCAATATTCAACGTTACACCGGCTTACGTGATCCACGGATCAACCACTGAGCTGTACTTATCTGAGCCATAGATACGCAACCGGCCACAAGTAAACCGTCAACTGTAGAAGTCAGTGCTTCTCGTAAAAGTCCATGAAGATGACTGGTAACTGTAATTCAATCCGGCAGATAAATATGAAGTGCTGCGTCTTGCCAATAAAAGGAGACCTATAATAAGCAGTCACGTAGCAACAAGGGGGGGGGGGGCAGGGGACTACCCCACTTTTTCCCAACATTACTTTTATTATTGGAAATGTTCATTGAAAGGCTGGTTTCCCCTGCCCCACTTGATACTAAAGGAAGTAGATATTGGGGAAATGTAGCAATAAATGTAAACAAGAGTGAGGAGGCCCACGAGGCTTATAGATCACGTGAGTATTGTGTAACAATTATCCAACAATTGAATTTGGTTAGTGTTTTAAAAAGAAGCCATGAATGAAATTCACAATTTTGAAAGAGGCACCACTGCTTATAATAATTATAAACTTAGCATGCCTACTCTATTTACATAATAACCAGAGGTATATCAGAGTAACACAGAGAAAACGCACTTCCACTTTATAACTAGTTGTGCACCCCATCCAAAAGGAACCACTAACGCTCGGGCCACATATTTCAAAATTTTATCATAAAATGGTTGATTAATACCAAAGAGCAGATTTCAAAGCATTAATTTATTTTCAAACTATGTACCCCCTTCGATACCCCTGACCCAGGGGCATGAAGTTAACCATTAATTTTTGATAGATGCACCTTTCCTTATAATAAATATATATATACTTGGATCATTGGCATAATACCTAGGAACAAAGGAAAATATTTTCAAAGAATTAATTAATGTACTTTAACTGTGTAATCAAAAGACCCCCCCCCCCTGCACCAAATGATAAAAACACGACACAGGGACCATGGAATTCACAAATTTGGAAGAGGCACTCTTGCTCATCATAACTATATATTAAGGTAGTTTATTTACCCGGTAATACACAGGAGCAGATAAGATTTTCAAAGAATTAATGATTTTCTTGAAAAAGTGCTTTGACACCAGAAAAGAAAGTCAAAAATGAATATTAATATTGAGATATACACAATTTTGTTCACATCATATTTCTCACTACATGTATGCATATGCATGTTTTAATTGTGTTATGTAATTAATGCTCATGGCTATATGCCGACACTGTAATTGTCAATAAAGTGAATTGAAATATAATCAATAGAGCCCCGCCAAACACCAGAACATCTGGGGTCGTATAATTCACAATTTTGGAAGAGGCATTCTTGCTCATCATAACCATATACTTAGTTTATTTAATACATGTACCCAGGAGCAGAGAAGATTTTAATAGAAATAATGCATTTTCACTATATAATCAATAGAGCCCCGCCCTAGCACACGAACCCCTGAAGATTTTCAATATTATCAATAGAGTCCCAGCCTAACACTGGAACCCCTGATCCTGGGGCCATAAAATTCACAATTTTGAAAGAGACACTCTTGCTCATCATTACTATACACTTAGTTTATTTAATACCCAGGAGCAAATAGACAATTTCGGTGATAACGTTTTCATGACATATGATAGGGTGTTTATTTTGACACAATATGCCATAAATAATGACATTTCACACATAGAGACACCGAAAGCGAGGAACCACAATTCTATTCTTTGACTTTGCTTGTTATGACCTTATATGGAGCGTAAAATAAAACAAATCATTGATTTTTATCATTTTATTAAAACTTGCATTTCCTGACAATAAAATATCAGCTGCCACAAATATGTAGCTATGAACAGTGTTTTTGGACAAATTATTTCTGGTTTACCTTACTAGTTGTAATGTGCACTATGTGGTTTCCATGGCACTGAGTGATAAATCCATAAGGTGCATTATAAGTCATATTTCAGTAACTTGATTTTTAGTTCATTTACAGAATACTGTATATACTAAAATGAGGATTTTCTCATTTTATATTATGTGTATGACATGTATTGTTATTTTTTTAATACTTATATATAATCAAGTGTACTTACCACAGTTCAAATGATGTAAACTTAGGTGTAAGGTCATCTCCTCTCAAGGTCCCTTTGTTCCCCATCGTATCAATGTCAATAATAAAACACTTTTCACTGACAGAAATTGATATCTAATTATTAACAGGTAAATTTAAAATGTAAAATATTGTCCTTCATTACAAATACCTTTTATATTACTTTTAAAATATAAATTTAATTTATAAATACACATCAAACGAAAGATCATATTTATATGTTCTCAAATATGTCTTGGATGTTCTAAATGAATATCAATTTACAGGACTGTTAAATGCAGGGGAGGGGAACTTTTTTCTGAGACAGTATATATATTTTATTATAGGAAACGTTTATTTAGATGCTGATCCCCCATACACTTTGTTTGCTGTAAGGTCAAGATCTGGTTAATTACAAGATTTTAAAGAAGTACCAATAAAAAGAGTAAGGTCCAACTCAAACCCCAACCCCCTAATGTAGACTTCTGAAATAGCATTTTCATTGGGATGATATTACATGTATATGCACATGGATTGTTTTGGTATTCATAATTGTAAACAGCTTTACTTTTGTTTCTTTTGTGCTTTCTAAACAAAGTTCGTTTTTCTTTAACTTTGTTTTCTCTGTCAGGCAATTGTACTTACTGTAAACCAACTTTTATTCGCGACGACTTTATTTCGCGATTTACCAGCGATAAACTAGTTCGCGACGATTAATGTTCGCGATCAAGACTCTTTTTGGATCTGTTGTTAATAGACACATACACTTTAAGGACAGGTTCGCGGCGATAAATATTCGCGATCACGAGGCTCTCGCGAACTTCACGAAAATTTCTCGCACGCGAATAAAAGTTGGTTTACAGTAAATATCCTGCATCTCCTTCAAGAAAATGTACTAAAATTCAGAAACATTAAATTCCGGTGCATTTCATGATTAATTCCACAAAATCTTATCTCCACAGATTAACTTATCAGTAAAAAGATGCCAAGAAGACAACTTTAATACAAGTAATTAGCCGGCACGTTGATTTGCCCAAATGGAAACAAATGGATCCAAATGAAAACACAATGGAGCCAAATGGTAATCAAATGGAATATCAAATGGAATGTATTGTTACTCTTTTAAAATAATGAAATGAATTTATTATTCATTTATTTCCAACAATATTATATACGAATTACTTTTGTAGTTTTCTATATATTGGCTAAATTATCTGGATGGATGGGGGCATGGTCTCTCCCCATACACCCACCTACTACCCCACCCTACCATACAACAATGGCAACTGTGTACATGTACTTCAATTTTGTGCTCAATGATGTGCAAAAGTTATAACAAACAGAAAACAAAAAAATACGATAATAGATATATTGAATATTCCATTTGGGTCCATTGTTTTACCATTTGGGTAAATTGACGCACCGGTAATTAGGTGCTGAGGAGACAACTTACCAGTAATTAGGTGCTGAGAAGACAGTTATACATTTTCCATCGTGAGAGACCTCATATCCCTCTGGCTTAACCTCGTGACTTCGTATAACGTACTCCAAATTATTCCGTTCCAGAAACTTCCTCGTGACGTCAGGTCCAAACATGGTTCCCACCCCACGCTTACTCTCGGCCCGACCAGACATTGGTTGAGGATCGGATTACAAAAGCTCACACATTAAACCTGATAAATACAAGTTCTGTTAAATCTAAAGGTCAACATGTTATGGGATGCATACTTGCATCTGTGTTACCTGTGGGAAACATACCTGATTCAGGTGGTTGTCTGTTTCTGTCAATTTTCCTGAGATCATCCAGAGTCACATTGTCATCTTTAAACAAACCACCGTGCATAACCTACATTCACAAACAACAAATAACTGAAGAAACTGTAAGAAATCTTACCCTTCATCTTGATTAATTTTCAGGATGCAATGAACATTTGTGCTGGGTATAAACTACCAAAGCCTCCTTGTAAATGATTCCTTTTTTTCTGATAGTGACCTTGAACTTGGGCAGCTGACATTGAATCAGTTTCTTATCATATTATCAGTTACTATGCATTCTTTCTTAGTACTAGTATTTTTTTCATTCCGGAGAGACATTTTGAAACCAGGATTTAAATCTAAACTGGTTTGTGGGGATGGATCTTACAGGAGAAATTATGTTTTAATAGAAATAAAGATTCTAAACTCAACATTTCTTCAGTTTGTAAATTCATGAGTAGAGGGTGCCAGTGAAATTAAGAATTATTGAACCCCAACAAAATATAATAATCGCCAACATAGATGTTGTGTGACTGTTTTGTGATCGGGCTCGGTATACGAGTTCATCCCGCGCAAAGCGCCATATTGTCATGCTTTGTACCTGTGTCTGAGTGAATAAAGTTTACTACAGTTTACACGCGTTAGTCGTGGATTCTCTCCAACCGTGGCGTGGTGGCAGCGATTTCGACTCTACGTCTCCGGAAATAATCAAAGAGGACCCTCGTGTGAAGTAATTTTACACGCACCTGACAACGTGTTTACCTTGACAAGCATGGCCAGTACACACAGAGCACCCAAACAATGGTGTTTTTCTAAAACTGAAACTGTGAATTCATTTGAAAACTGGAAACAAAATTTAATCTCTTCGTTATCCCTTGATCCAAATTTTTCTGCATTTTTATCTCATGACGCAAAATGGGACAAGAAGTCGAAGGCTAACCCGAATCGTGACTTTACAGACGACGAAGACCCGATTCCAGAGAACAAGCGCCTAACAGCACAGCAAAAGTCAGCCACGCTAGATCTATGCTTGGTCAAATTGCAAACTACTGTCCTGTGATTTCACGTAATGTAATAGTGAAAAACTCAACTTCCTTAGAACAAATATGGCAGTCCATAAGGTTGCACATTGGCTTCCAGTCATCAGGCACCCATTTCTTGGATCTTAATGACATTACTCTGCGCCCTGATGAACGTCCAGAAGATCTGTATCAGAGAATGTTAGCCTTCATTGATGACAACCTGTTAAAGAAAGAAGGCGGCATCACACACCATGGTGCAAACATTGAAGAGGACGAGGAACTGTCACCAACAGTTGAAAACCTGATTGTTCTGACCTGGCTACGTTTGATAAACACCTCATTGCCACAACTTGTGAAGCAGCGTTATGGCACAGAGCTTAGAGTGCGTACACTAGCATCTATAAAACCTGAAATATCTCAGGCTCTCCCATCACTACTCGAGGAGATCCGCAACAATGAAGATGCCAGATCGTTCCGCACATTCACTCAGCCTCATAAGGATATCCGTACTTCTTATAATCAAAAACCACTCATTAAGACTCAGAACCGTTCCTGTCCCTTATGTAAGCAGGCAAAACGCACAAGTACGCATTTCCTCAGCGAGTGCCGTTTTCTACCAGACAGCGACCGCAAATACATGGCCAAAGCGAGACAGATCCTCAGTATCCTTGACACAGATCAGCACACAGATTCTGACATTGACAACCCTGCTGAGGCACCCTATGCTGAGCCTACAGTTAGTTTAGTTAGCAATAATGTGTCAATTCGACAGTCACCCTATTTAGATGTCTTCTTTCAACATTCTCACGTACGTCTCACAATTGACTCTGGAGCTACAGGGAACATGATAAGAGCATTAACTGTGACCAAATTGAATGGAAAAGTCAGTCCCACCAACCAGTCAGCTCATCAGGCAGATGGCTCTTCACCTTTGAAGGTTGTGGGGGAAACAAAATTGCACTTCTCCAGAGATTCCCACTTATTTTACTTTGAAGGACTAGTGATCGAGAATCTTGACGTCGATGTTCTTGCGGGCATTCCTTTTATGGAAGCTAATGACATTGCCGTTCGACCTTCTAAGCGTCAGGTTTTGATAGGAAACAGCACTGTATATACTTACGGATCGGTAGCAGCTACTGATAAAACCATCCAAAACAACACCAAAGCACATGCTCTTCGTACTGTAGCCTCCAGGACTGTGTGGCCAGGGGACTACCTAGAGTTAGACATTCCAGAGTCAGTACTCCACCATGATGGTTTGCTCGCCATTCAGCCTCACCTACCTGGACCTCTTGTCACTCCCTCCATTTTACACAGTGTTGGGAATAAGATTCGCATTGAGAACACTAGCAGTGACCCAATAACAATTCGTAAGCATGAACACCTCTGTGATATTCGACAGGTTTATGTTCCCTCCACTGACCCAGTGCCTTCTGTGCAGAGTGATACGTACACTAGTTTGAAGAGTGAATCCAGACATTCCACACCATTTTCTTCACTAGTTACACTTGACCCTGATGGCATTCTCCCCTCAGAGATCGTTCAAGCTTTCAAGGACACTCTTGCCGAAAATGACACAGATTTTAGTCCAGTTTCGGAGGGGTATAATGGATATGCTGGACCCTTTAAGGCCGAGGTCAATATTGGACCTGTCATGCCCCCAGAGAGGAAGGGTCGCCTGCCTCAATACTCTCGTAATCAACTTGAGTTACTTCAAACCCAATTCAATGAGCTAGAAGCTATGGGTGTATTCAAGAAACCCGAAGATGTGGGGATCACGGTTGAGTATCTAAACCCCTCATTTCTTGTCAAGAAAGGTTCCGGTGGATTTCGTCTCGTGACTGCCTTCTCCGAAGTGGCCCGCTACTGCAAGCCTCAACCCTCCTTGATGCCAAATGTTGAATCGATACTTAGAAAAATTGGCCGGTGGAAGTACCTTGCCGTGACAGACCTTACAAAAGCATTCTACCAAATCCCTCTCGCTAAAGGTTCAATGAAGTATTGTGGCGTTGTCTCACC